AGTGACGTCATAACGTTACCGGCAGAGCCCCGGTGCTCCCCGGACCGGGCAGGTCATGCCGGACCGGCGCGCCGCGCCAGTGCTTGTGTGCTTGTGTTTTTTGCTTTGAACATAAACCGCTCGGCTCACCGCGGACGGGGAGAACGGGAGTTCGAGGTCCCGGTAGTTTTCGTTGCGATGAAGGTCCACGTTCCTCTCCTCGACTTGCGAGTCACACGTGGATGTTGTGTAGATGTTGTTCGGAGATGCAGCACTCACTTTAAAAGTGCGAAACAAAAGAAAAAAGATCGTTTAACAGAGTAACAAACAACCTGTGGGTCAGACCGGAGGAGCAGGACGGGACTGCTGCTTTTTAAATGAATGAATCGCAGCGATGCATCACTTTTATATATAGTTTTGAGGGAGATGGAGTTTTGTTTTTGTCCTCCTGAGTTCTAAATTAAAGGGCTCATTATTCAGCAGTGTTCATGGGAAAATAATGTGTTGAAAGAACAGGAGGAGGAGCTCCTCCCAGTCACTGGTTATTCACTGGGAGCGCTGGAAGCTGCTGCTGGGAGGAATGTGGGGAGTGAAAAATGGAACAATACCTTCACAACAGGGGACGTGATGGAGAGGAAACAACCCAAGAGTCTTTTTTGGCTTGTGGAAAACTTGGGAAAAGAAGTTTGGATTTAAAGTTTTCTTTTTTTTATTTTTTATTTTTTACTAATGCCCATTTTGGAATGAAATCACAGCCGCTGTGCTTGTTATCTGAAGTCTGTGTTTTTGGCTTCTCGCTGTGTGATGGAGATTGAAAGTCGGTTGCTGGATATCAGTGGTGGAAGAAATTCTCCAAAGTAAACGTGTCTCATAGCCCGAAAATACTTCCTGCAAATAAAAAAGATTTGAATGTTAGTACATTATTCATCTTTCAATTAGAAATGCATGTGACGGTATTTTAATGTCCGTCGATGCAGGACGACGAAGGAGGATAATATGGGTCCTTCTATGCATATCTGCAGTTTTTTCATTGCAATTGAGCCCCTCACACGCCGGAAAAGCAGATTGTTGGCCCTCGTGTTTTCTAACCAACGTCATCGCGGTGGCATCACCGAGCTAACGTTAGCTTGCAGGCCGAATCCGCCCTCCCTATTCTGAGAGTGTATCCCGTCATGAACCAGCTGCAGCCCCCTTTCAGCCGAAGCGTCCTTGAGGGAGTCGAGGCGTCTCTTCGCCCGCAAGCCGAGAAGCTCACTCCGCCTTTCTCTGGGTAGAACGAAGCGATTTGAAGTGCTCAACGTTTCCCAAATTCTCTCCAGTTATTTTGGTGTGGTTGCAGCTGTGACGGACTGCTGTATATTCATGAGCTGTCCTTTTTAGTCATTAGGCCCCAAATCTTCCTCCAAGACCGACTGCCAACGAGGTCAGCCGCGAAAAAGAGCTTCAGTTCCTGAGCCCAGAAAGCTTTACTTCTCTCTTTCTCTCTCTCTCTCTCTCTCTCTCTCTCTCTCTCTCTCTCTCTCTCTTCCATGAGTATATATTAGTTTTTATTTATGTTGAGCGCTCAGGAAACAAGAAATGATAGAAGGTTCTGTCTTTAAATGACCTTATTTCTTCCTCCTCCGACCTTCTGCATCTGTGCTCATCCACCATCGCCTCAAAGAGTGAGTGTTTTCTCCATCTGCATCACCAATACTTTTAGAAATATTGATGGACAGCTGGAGGGGCTGAATATCTCAAATCCTCAATTTCATACTAACGAAGCAACTGAAATCAATAGAAAAAAATAGTTTAGCATATTTGAAAATTGATTTGATCTTGGGTATTTTACATTCCAGCTGCATAAATGAAGTGCAGGTTTGTGACAGCAAATGGATCTTTTTACATTTTGGTCTCGTAACGGGGTTCCTACTAAATGTCAAGTCCACTGGCTCCACTGTGTGTTGTTCATCTTCACTGATGTTGACCAGTGAATCTGAACAACAGCTTGGTGAACATGAGTCTGATAACGATTGAAATCTGCCATCTGTGAATTCACCTGTCAGGGCAGTCCGGATCTGATCGATACTCTGACCGCCCGTCTGTCTGCCCGTCTGTCTGCCTGTCTGTCTGCCAGCCAGCCAGACCCTTTTTTATCAGTGCTGCACACCGTCTCTGTCCCTGCTGGCATCATCCCAGTGTTCCCAGTAGCATCGCGCCTCCTGGTAGTTCTCCTGCAGAGTGGCTGCATGGAGCTGGATCCAAGCCAGCGCGGCGAATTAGAGGCGATTATAGCTGCGTGTGCGTGCGTGCGTGCGTGCGTGTGTGTGTGTGTGTGTGCACAGCCTCTGCGACAGACTGGCATTTTGTTATGTAACTAATTTCACACCGAAGCAGTCTGAGTGCTCGCCAGGCGACGAAGCCACCTTTAATCAGCTGAAGTAGTCCTGGTTCTGATTGGTTAGTGTGCTGTCCAGGTACACAGACATCACCTGCATTCTGTTCTGTCCTCCTCTAGTTTCCTCTCACCGATATTGCAGAGGGAGGAAAGAAAGCGGCCAAATGGGAAAAATAATAATTGTTGCAGCCTTAAAGCTAGTGTTGCTGGTATTATTATTAATGATATAATAATTCATTGGACTACTAATACTAAACGGAACTATCTGCGTGGACAGATACTCCAATCAAGGTAAAATGACCCTTCACAACAATCCGCTTCTCTTCTCATTTCCTGAAAAGTTCTTAAAACAGATTTTAGTCTTATAAGCAGGAAGCAGAGATACGAGTCCAGTCCTGTCAGTGTGCTCATCTCAGTTATTTAGCGTGAATGTAGCCACACTTTTCTTATGGTTCCATAAACTGCCTCTCACTAGGTCTCAATTTTACACTTCCTGTTTTAATGATCGTTTCTCTGGTGTTGATTCAACCTTTTGGACCCTAATGTGTTTCCACGGGCTTTAAAAAGCCGCAATCATTCAGGAGAAAGTCGTTTTCCAGCTCACTGCTGTGATGAAACGGCATCTGGAAGCAGCTTCTCCATGGCTCATAAATATCATCACGACACTTTGTCTCCATTGAATTACTCTCAAGACCTTTTCTCCTATAGATAGATTATTTTGAGTTGAATAGAGGAATGTATGTATGTATGTATGTGTGCATAAATAGTGAGATTTTGTCCTTGTGGAAAGACCGCACACGGACTCTTTCTGTCAATTGATTCATCTGTCAAAATATTCAACATTAATTGTTAAAGGGCTAAAATGTTGGTTGAAAAGGGATTTTTATCAGTTTTGGTATTTTCTTTTTTGACTGGTTGGCTTCGTGGTTGGTTGGATTATTTATCAAGGTAAATGTTTAATTCACTGTGTTGTTTTTCATAAACTCCCTTCCTGTTGGTGGCTGCTGCATCTGAAGGCGTTCTCATTTGTTGTTGTCATTAACAAAAGGTATACACATCACATTGTTTACACTCTGATACACTGCTTCTTCTACTTTGAAGTGATGGCCGACTGCAATTAACAAAATGAATGTTGTTAATGGAGGAGTGAGGGACAGAAATACAGATGGACTTTAACTAACACACACAGACGTCCTAATCCCGTGCAGACAGACTGAGTCTGATCAGGCTAATCCCTCCCCACCTCCCTCCGGTCTGACCCGCAGTTTACCTCTCATACACTAACTACATAACACACACGCACGTATACACACACACACACGCACGTATGCTTACTTTCTGTCACATTGTGTTGATTCATTGATGATTATTGCTTATTGATTCACTGCAGAGCTAAAACTACGATCCCAGAGTTTGACTTTTACATTTAGTCTTTGTTCTTGCTGAGCATCATGGGAGTTTTGATTTAAAGCAGACGGATCGTCATATGCACGTATTTCACATTATTTCATTTACACATGGAGTACTTCTGATAGGGACATGCTGCTGCTCTGCTGTGAGGAGGTTTTTAAAGCCTGGATCCTCTGAGCCGTAAAGATCAACTTTAGCTAAAGTGTGTGTGTGTGTGTGTGTGTGTGTGTGTTGGTCCTGTCGGCTGATCCTTCTTTATTGTAAATAAATGCTCCTTGGAGTGACATACCTGCATCTTCAGAAGTACACACAGTAGCTGAACTATATCTGGTGCTATATGCTACCTATAAAGTTGTGCCTGTTCCTTTTCCTTTAAACATTGCTTCTCTTTTATCTCATTTGTAAAGATTTGTCCTCTGCAGCTCTGGCGGATTTTATGCTTTAGATCTGCATTGTGTCCTGTTCAGCTCTGTCTGTGCTCTTATATTAATTCAATGTTTGTTTTTGTTTGTTGTGTTACTTGGCGAGAAACAGCTTGAAGTATTTGGCAGCACACGTAGACAGTAAAGCACCGAGGGAGAGAAAGCATGTGGGCAGAATGAGATAAGGAAGACAAAGAAAGGGCAGTAAATGCCTCTCTGCTACTGCGACTGCAGTGTGAAGAAGAGGAGCAGCAGAGTTTCCTCTGTCGTTAGAAGTCCTGCTTTGTCTCAATATAAAGCTTTTAAAATAATTTTAAAGGCCCTCAATCCAGTTAGGTACTTTTATTTATACAGTGTAATGTTGGCTCGACATTACTGATCACACTTGGTTCACATTATTCTTTGCTTTGACAGTTTCACATGGTTCTTCAGCTGTGTTTTAAATGTAATGTCTTAATATTATCCACAGGATGCAAATCCCGCTTCTGATCACTTTGTATGTCTGGACCAGTAATCTTTCACAAAGACTCTAAAGGTTTTAAAGCTTGAAAAAGTATTTAATTCAGTCCAAAGACATTCTTTGATCTTTATATTCTTCTGTAGGTAACGTTGGCCTGCTAGGAAGCTCACCTACTCAATGACCCTAAATGATCCCATTAAATATTTTAAAGTCATTTGCGGTGTATTGAATATCTTTGTTGGGTTTTGTCTTTTTAATGTATGATTGACCATTCAGAAAGGGAGTGTATGAAATGAAAACGAATCACTGAGCTGCTGGGATGGTCTGAATGTTGTTTTTTCTTCTTCTGCAGATCTGACCTGGGCCTTTTGACCAGTGACCTCTGCGGTTATATCTGATGTTGAAGAGGAGGAGGATGCGAGTTCCCTGCTCAGCTGCGCATATTGCCGCATGAACACAACTGCAAGTCCTTAAAGGTGGATATCCAAGGAACTTTTTCAATCGTTTTGCAGAAGGTAGATATATTGGTCCAAGTTAAAGAACCATCTTTGTGAACATGTTTTCTCTTTTTTGAAGCAGACTTTTTGTTTTTCCTTTTTCTGCAGATTTTCTCGCAGTTTGCACTTTGATCCTTCTTCTCGTTTTCGTCCCTTCTGCTGTCGGGGGCCTTCATCATATTTTGAAGTTCGTCCTCTCCTGCGCTGGCGGAAATGTCTCTGTCTCCTTCGACACGAGAACGAAAGACAGGAAGTTGACTCCTGCTAGGAGCGAGGCCGAGAGACCAGGAAGGAGAGCGGAAAGAGGAGAGAGCAGGGAAAATGTCGTGGAAGAGGAACTACTTTGCGTCCGGTGGCGTCGGCGGAACCGGCGCCGGCGGCAGCAAGGGGGGCGTTGGGATGCAGGGGATGTTGACCCCTCGCACCATGACGTCCATCGCTCCCAGTAAAGGGCTGAGCAACGAGCCGGGACAGAACAGCTGCTTCCTGAACAGCGCCCTGCAGGTACACACACACTTTCTCTCATCTTTCTCACACATACGTGCACTCCGTGTCTCTCTGACCTGTTGAACCCTGATGTGAGACCCTGACCTTTTCTTATCAGCAGATACCTTCCAGATTAGTTTATAAATCTGTAACACAGTTTTGTTTGAACCCGGTGATCTCTTTGTTGTTTGCTTTCTCCTCAAAACTTAAACAAAAGGAACCTGTGACTTTTTCAGTTAAATACACAAAAGATCAAGTAAAATGGGGTCGTGGGTATGTCACTGTTCATCAAATCAGAAATGTGATTATAAATCTGTAAAGATTCATGAAGTGTATATCGGTAGAACCCTCTCAAGCTGGATACAGGGTACGTAGATCGATGCATCTAAAGTGGAACTCAAAGTGCACAGATGCAAGTTCCTATTAGAAGGTTACCCATCAGTCTCCAGCATGATGAGTTTGTCCGTCTCTGACACTTGAATCATTCTCTTTTGAAAATACACAAACAATACACAAGCTGTGCGTTTGTTCCACAGAGCTGCTGATGCGGCGGGAGACTCTTGATGCAGGACTGCACCTCTTTGTACACGGGCTTTTACCTGCATCAGTATTACTCGGCAATGCATCCAGTGTAGCTGCTGACTGCAGGCTCAGTTCCACCACAGTGCCTTTGAGCCAGCCAGTTAGTCGGTTGGAAAACAGCAGTCAGACAGCTGCGCCATCCACATAACAACCAGCTTGATAATCTGCTCCATACTTATGTGAGCCTGTAATGAGCCTCCTCCTGGAGCCTGCAACACCTCCCAGACTGCACATTACACTTATTTATGACTCGGCTTTTGAAATGGGAGGCTAGGGAGGAGGCGTGTTGTATACAGTAAAGAGCCGAGTCAGTGTGAGCCGTAATTATTGGTTTTTAAGCGCCGGCTGACTCATTAAGGGCGCTGGGTGGGGCTGCTCCCGCTGCAATGATAGACTTGGCTGAAGAGGAAACGCTCATTACATCGTTAGACGGGAGCTCGCTGTGAGCTCGACAGCAATACCACTCCCGGCCAGAGGTCAGAGGTCACCGCACACAGACATCACGGTGTCGTCTGTTGTCAGTAAGAACCCTTAATCTGTATGAAGTTCTAATCCACATCTGAATCCTAACTGCATTTCCACCTCGCTGATAAGGACAGGTCTTGCAAAGTGATGGGGCAAATCTTAAAAGTCTTGTGAAGTCTGATAAGTGTGGGTTATGTGGGTGGCAGGTTTTAAAAAGAATGTGATGAAGAATGTGTGGAATCTGCAAGGTCAACATCTCTGGTCCTGCTGCTTTGATCTCGATCTTTTCTCAAAAGATCAATACGGTCAAGAGTCTGACCGTATTTCTAAAGAACACACCTTGTTTCCTCTGCCTGCTTCGTTATAAAAGCCTCCTTGTGTTTCAGTTGAAGTGTTTGAATGTGACGCAGCGGCGCCAGCAGGAAGGCTTGTGTTAGCATTAGCAGAAACACAATCCCAAACTGCGCTGCTGGTGTCAATCAGATCAAATTACAACCACTTGCACATATTACATGCAGCTTTGTTTTCTGTCAATGCTTCGTGTTTGAACTACACACAGACTTCAAACCATTGGAGAGGTTTTTGTAGAACATGACAGGCGTTTCTTTGAAGGAACTCAAAGAACAGCTCCTTCGCTCCGGAGCAATACACCCAAGTGTGATGGACGAAGGGCCATCGTGAGACTTCCTCATAATTATGTGTAATTAATAATTATGTATCTGTTCCCTGAAGCGTGCGACAGAGAGCGAGCCCTCCCCAGCATGCAATAGGGGTCCCGTTTTCAATACCACAAACCGTTTGCACACTAGACACAACTTTTGTAAATGTGTCCCATAGATCTGAAGAGCTCAACGCCGCACTTCCTTGAACACACAGTAAATCTGTCTGCTGCCCCCGCCGAGCCCAGTGTACCGTGAACTCGCAAACTTCCTCGTGACTTCCCCTCCGGCGGCCCTTTACCTCTCTGTCGGTCCGCTCTTCTCCACTCAAAGTGATCAGAAGAATTGGCGGAGCTGAGGGGAAGTGGAGGCGGCGTGGCGGGGGGGGGCTGGCTGTCGGGAGGCTTAGCAGCTCCGACGTGTGGAAGAATATCGTGGTAACGAACAGCTGATCTTCTGCTGCTCAGGACATCCAGCATGCTGCTGTAGCTTTCAGAGAGTAATTCAATTAATAACAAATATTTGTTTGACAGACGGGACACCATTGGATTTTTACAATGTTTTGTCTCAACTGTGTTTCCTGCTACACTTTCCATGTGAAATATTCGTATCATATATCAAAGTCACTTTTTAGAATGACAACTGTTGTTTTGAGGTCATTGGTGAGAAAACCACCTTTTTTAATATAAATCTGTATTTGTGTTAAACGATTTCAACAGTTTAATTGCCAAACCAAAACAAACCTTTAACCCTAAATAATGTAAAGATGACTTTTTAGAAGCAGCACAGACCATTTGGAAGTGTAGACTAGGCCCTTCTATTCATCTCAGCCGCTGGTGAGAACCCTTATTTGACATTTACTAGAACGCACCTTCTTTAGATATTTAAAGAATTCATTAACATCGGCGGTGCAGCCTCCCCCGCTGGACGGACACCTCCGCCCACCTCGGAGCGCACTGCTCCATCACAAAACCGCTCCCTCCGTCCCTTCCCCGCTACACCAGATGGCTTTGAGTCACGGGTCTTGTATGTCTCTGACATTACAAATGGCTGCCTCATCGTGCAGGGATTTAATGTTGAACAGAAAACCATCAAATAGCCTCACGTTTCACGACTGGTCGCTTTGGGCAGTGGGAAATTCTAACGCAATGATTAATATGGTACATTTAGCTAACAGATGGGGGAATACAGATCTGCGCTGGAGGCGTCACCTGGCTCACCTGCTGAACACTGCTGCGTCGTCCGCTAGGAACAGAGTAACATATTGGACTTTGAGGGGGAGGGGAGGGGGGGGACAGGAAAGGGACAAACGCACCCAAAGTGCTGACGCCACAGTATGTTTCACTGAGGAATCCAGTCCAAAGATGCACCAAATTTACTCCAACACACCTTCTGTCGTGTGCGCGCGGGCCAGTGTCGAACAGAAGAAATGTTTGTTGTACTATTTACAAGGTCTTAAAAATGTCATAACTACAAAAACGAATACGAATGATTGATTATTCAATGAGTCCATCAACAACTATATTTATAATCGGCTAATAATTTCAGCTCTAGTCCAGTTTTGTGAGGTGTAGTCAAATCCGGGTATCACGCTACGGTTGAACCTTGAATGTGCGGCCAAAAAAGTCCCGAATCTGACCTCCAGACCGCTCTGGCTTTTCTTTTTTATAAAGCCTTTTCATTAATCTAGATGAAAAAATTCTTCCATGTCTGAATTCCTGCTGCTCAGCAGGAGAGAAGTCTCAGAGTCTCAAGACATAAATATTAAATAAATATTCTGGGTTGAGCAGATAGGTACAAAATATACACCATCTAATGTAAAATGTTCTCATCTGCACTTAGTTACTGATCCTGTTATGACACGTGTGTGTCATTCCTTTCAGTCTAATACTGTGACAGTGACTTATTCACATATTCTTGTTGTTTTTGCATTTCAAAAGTTTGCTTCGAAATTGCTTGACAAGTGAATGAAAAGACCTTTGTGACATTTGTTCTGTCAGACACGGAAACATCATGTTCTGTTTTTTTTTTTTTTTAACCCTTTTTTATCGTCTTGACATCCGCCCCCTCCCCCCCTACACACACACACACTTTATCTTTCAACATCACTTTAACACACTCCAACTCCCTCACACACACTCCTCTTCGTCATGCAGGAGGCCAGATGGTTTCCTGGAGCAGATGGAGCGAGCGATGAACACAGTTTGACACACTCACACACACTTTCATGTCAGTACTTTTCCACCAAGTTTCTGTCGCTCTCTCACACACATTTGAGCTTGTCCTCAGGTCAAACGGTCTCAGCAGCGGCGGCCGTGTGTCCGTGCTGACTGCTGATTGGCCGATATCTTGCGTCGCATTTAGACATAGATTTTCAATCTTAGTTTTTCTGCTTCTTCTCAAAAAGTGACTGAGTGCTTGACGGAGGTGGTTCTGGAACTCTTAAACCAGCATTATTTTCAACGCCACAGTCTTTATTAACTACTCTTTGTCTGCTGATATTTTGGGATCAGATCTTTGCAGGTATTTGTTGAAGGAAGATTTCTTTGACTGTTGGTTGGGGGGGTTTGATTTCACTTACTTACATTATGACTCTTATTAAATCCCGGAGTTCCTTCCTCCTCGTATTTCATTTTAGTTTTGTATGTTGCCCCTTGAATTCTGACCCGGCCGGGGCATGTGTGCACATTTCTGATATCACTCCTGTCTCTCAGGTCCTCTGGCACCTCGACATCTTCAGGCGTAGTTTTCGTCAGCTGACCACTCACAAGTGCATGGAGGACTCGTGCATTTTCTGCGCTCTGAAGGTGAGAATGGCTCTCACCGGTTATCTACAAGCTGATCCCGGACCAGCTTCCTGCCTCCTAACACGCTCCACGTGTCTGCCTCCCCCCTCGTTCTGCAGAGTATATTCGCTCAGTTCCAGTACAGCAGCGAGAAAGTTTTGCCCTCCGACGCTCTTCGCAGCGCGCTCGCCAAAACCTTCCAGGACGAGCAGCGGTTTCAGCTGGGCATCATGGACGACGCCGCTGAGTGCTTTGTAAGATCGCTGTGACGCCTTTGTTGTTGACACGTTCTGTTGTCAACAAGTGAAACCGTTGAGGGTCGTTTCTGTTCCGTGTGGATTCGGCAGGAAAACATCTTGATGAGGATTCACTTCCACATCGCCGAAGAGACCAAAGAAGACATCTGCACAGCCAGACACTGCATCCCACACCAGAAGTTTGCCATGACGCTGTTTGAACAGGTGAGCCGGAGACGCGGCCTTATTGTGGACAGTGACCACCGGCTGATGTCTGATTCACTGGAAGTGATGATGAAATAAACATTAAAACTATTCATTTAGATTGAAATGCAGGCTGATAAAAAAAATTGTCAGGTGACTATTTTTTTGAATTTTCTCGTCCGATTTCATTTAATTGTAACATTTTTGGGAAAGTTGAAGTGTATTTTTTTTTTTTGTGCAATTATTTACAATGAAGATATTTAATTAATCAAATAAAATACTACTTGGGGGTGTGGGGTATTCTTGGCTGGTTACTGCAATAACACTTATAATGTATTGAAATATATATTAGATATATCTATAGATATTTTTTTTCTGTTGGTCTGACAAAACGTGATATTTAAAGACGTCACTGTGGCGATTGTAACCAATATTTCTTTGCTATGAATTGTCCCTTCGTCAGATTAATGATCATGAAAATAATTGCAAAATGATCGGATTCTTGAATCAAAGTCAAAATGTCCGAGGTTAAAGTGCCAGATGTGACGTTCACCTCTGTGTGTCAGTGTGTGTGCAGCAGCTGCGGGGCGTCCTCGGACCCTTTACCTTTCATTCAGATGGTCCACTACATCTCCACCACCTCTCTGTGGTACGGAATCTTTGTTTTCTATACATTATTTTTTGCACAAATAATGCAGATTTGCTAATTATGTTTTCTGTGATTTAAATATCAAATGGGTCATATCTCCTCCTCCTCAGTAACCAGGCAGTGAAGATGCTGGAGACGAGGGAAAAAGCGACTCCCGGGATGTTCGGGGAACTGCTGCGAAACGCCAGCATGGGAGACCTGCGCAGCTGCCCAGTGAGACATTTTCATGACCGACGAGTTGATGGTGACCAAATGGTTACAGCTCCCCAGCGTGATAACAAATGTTCCCTCGCCTCTTATTCAGAGCCAGTGTGGTCAGCAGCTCAGGATGGCTCGCGTCCTCCTCAACAGTCCGGAGATCATCACCATCGGCCTGGTTTGGGACTCGGAGCAGTCGGACCTCGCCGAGGACGTCATTCACACCCTGGGGACCTGCCTGCGTCTCGGGGATGTATGACGTCTGCTTTTTTTAAACACGTCCATGCACATCAGAGTCCTGAGGATGCAGCGCTCCACTGAACCCTCCTACTCTTTGTGCTCAGTTGTTTTACAGGGTGACGGAGGAGAAGGCCCGTCAGTCCGAGCTCTACCTGGTCGGCATGGTGTGTTACTACGGGAAACATTACTCCACCTTCTTTTTCCAGACAAAGATCCGACGATGGATGTACTTTGATGACGCACACGTCAAGGAGGTATATGGGGCAGTGTTGGTAGTGGGGCACACTGATAACATTAACCAACTTACCGTTTATTTGATTTACTATTTATAAGACGAGCAATACTGGCAATCAGTCCTTTTTGTACAAAAATAATCTCCAAAAAATGTTCATTACAACAAAACTACATACATTTTTTTAAATGTTTTATTGAGGTTTGTCACAGGTACAGAAGCACTGATGAGTATGTGTGTAAGCAGTTAAAAGAAAGGAAATGACCTCATGTTGTAGTTGGTGGTCTTTTTCTCTGTATTCTCACACCTCTCTATGACCTCCCTTTTTTACCTCCTCCTTTTACTTTTGCTTTACTCTTTTCTATTGCTGTACTCCAATAACATTGATGGAATCATGAGATATCACATTGGCCCACTCCCTCTCTGTCTCTCTCTCTGCTGGTTGCAAAAACAAGGATATCCCTCTATTGTTGATCTGTCCAGCTGGACACGATGGCGGGTGTGGTCAAAGCGTGCGCGCACACGCACGCCACCGCAGAAACGTTTGCTCACACATTTCTTTCTTTCACTCGCATAAGCGCACACATTTATTTTCGTTCTCCGAGCACTACAGGGTTTACGGACCGGTCGTGGTTTGGGGATTTTGGGACGTCCTGTTGCATCTGGAGGGGATTGAGGACGAGGAGTAAGAGCTGAAATAACAATCGGGAAGATTTTTTTCAACAAAACCTACAGACAGAAAGTAGAAAGACAAAGCTTTGTTTTCTGACCGTGTGATGAAACCGCCTGCAAAACCTCAGCTGCTGTCACTGAATTAGCTGCTCAGTGTTGTTTTCGAGGTGAACGGGACGTCTGCTGGTAAATTATTTTCAGCTGCCGGTTTTATGTGGAAAAGGTTTATATAAATATTATACTATCTTTAAACATGTGCTCAGTAGGGTGTAGTATTGTTTGTTTTGTTAAATTGGCTTATTTCGGTACTTTTTTTTTTTAATCCAATCCGATTCAGCCTTCAATTTACAGATTGGTCCCATTGAAGAGTCACGTTCGGTACAGTATGAATTCCAAAAAGTATCCTCATGTTATGGTCGCTCCCCTCCAGATTGGTCCTAAGTGGAAGGACGTGGTTTCTCGCTGCATCAAGGGCCACTACCAGCCTCTGCTGCTGCTGTACGCCGACCCGCGGGGAACGCCGGTGTCGGTCCAGGACCTGCCCCCGCGCTTCGACCTCCACCACCTCAACAAGGCCTGTTACGACAGCGAAGACTCGGGTAACTACAACACAGCTAGGAGTCGTAGTAGTAGCACAACAGCAAACATTCAGGTAACTAAACCGCAAACGGTAGTACTTGTTGTTGTAGTAGTACTAGTAATAGAACTATGACAGACGATTGTGGCAACTAAAGGAACGCTAATGGTTACAGTAGTTGTTGTATTTGTCGTAGTAACCGACGCTCTGATGTGTATTTGTGTGTGTATGAACATATCCCCGTTCACTAACCCCGTCCCCCTCAACCCGCTCGGCCAGGCCGCGAACAGTCAATCTCCAGCGACACTCGCACCGATTCGTCGACGGAGAGCTACTCGTCCCGACAGCCCTCCCACTCGCACCATGAGTCCCTGGCCAGTCACTACTCCTCTGACTCCCAGGGAACCGTCGTCTGCACCGAGCGCCCGGAAGGAGCCCTGCACACTTCGCTCTGCAGCCTGGATACCGTAGGTGGGTAGCTGGAGAAGGTGTCCGGGGAATTAGAAGAGGCTACAAATGGCAAAGCAGTGAGGTTGGGCGGATAGTTTAATAGTTTGAACTCCGATTTAGGGACGATTCATAGACCGACTACCAGCTTTGATCCTGCATATTGGTGACCAATCACAGCATGGGTTTCTCAGGGAAGCGCTTTGACAAGACACATTTTCTTTTAATTCATTCATTAATATTTGATCATCTTTATTATGGGCAGAGCAAAGTATTGTATTTTTATTTTCCTGTAAGGACTTGCTGTGCAGTCCTTCACGCACTGTCTTCATGTTACGTGGCGTGGTGACCATGCTGTAAACATCTGTTACCATGCTTCTTGTTGCTAAGGCCACGTGACGGGCGGTGAGCAGCACCAGTCTCTGAGGAAGGGAGGCGGGGCCGGGGATAGGAGGCGGAGCTCTAGCCGCCACCGGCGATCTAAACTCGACAACGAAGCCCCGTCGGCTGGTTACCACAGTGAGGGTAGGCAGGGGCCGGGACACAGGGGCCAATCACAGGGCAGAGAGGAAACTACTGGGCAGACATTTTTTCGAGAATTTAAGATACCGGATAACCTCATATCTGCGTGAATTCATTTTGAATAATCCCTTAAAATGGGTTATTTTAATAGTTTTATTGAATGTAAATATAAAATGCCTAACACCCAATATAAAACCACATTTTAAATGTAAACGTGATATTGACACCAATGTATTAGGAAAGTAAGATTTAAACATATCAGAATATATATAATTTTACAGTCTTGAATGTTGGGCTTAACTAAAGTAGGTGATCTACTCCATTTCCATTTCATAGGAAACTGAGCTTTTAGGGAGTCTGCAATAAAATGAGATATTCCTTTACGCTAACATTAGGTCGCTAAATGCTTCTTTGTGGGAGAACAAAGCCATGAAAAACAAAAACTTGCATTGCCGTCAGCATCTTTTTTCATTGTCCACTCATATTAAATCATTCGTTCTTTCTTCCTTGCTTCATTCCTGCAGTCACTCAAATGTAATTTTCCCCTTGTCTCTGGATATTGTTATTTTACCTCTTTCATTCTTACTTGTCCTCATTTCCTTGGTTTTCTCACTCTGCTCCTCTGTCTGTTCCTCCTTTCTCCCCTCTTGCCTCCCTCCTGTTACTCTCTTCCGTCCTCGTCCCAGGAGAGACTTTGAAGGAGCAACAGGTTCCCCGTCACCTCCCCAAACCTTCCTCTTCCTCCTCCTTCTCATCCTCAACCAGTCGCCTCAGAGACTTCAAAGAGACCATGAGCAACATCATCCACAGCCGACCCCTCTCTTCCTCGTCCTCCTCATCATTACCGGCTGCCGTCCTCGCCTCTGAAATCCACTCCTCCTCCGACAACAACCACCACTATCCTGCCCCCATCTCCCCTCCCTGCCCTCCCTCCAGTAAACCCCATGACTGGGAGGAAGACAGCACCAGCAGCGAGTCCAAGTCCAGCTGCTCGGGCGGGGCGGGTCCAGGGAGGTACCGGCCAGCATGGAGGCCCCGCAGGGAGGCGCTCAACATCGACAGCATCTTCAATCGCGAGAGGCGGAGGCAGGCGGGGTACAGCCCGCTCGGAGCCGCCCTGCTCGAGGACCGCGGGGCTCCCGGAGCGGGGGGAGATAACTCCTCCTTCCCGGCCCAGGAGGAGGCGAGCGCCGTCGGGCCGGGCTCCTCCTGGACTCTTCCCACCACCTCCAGCAGCCGTACAGGAGGTGGCAATGTGCCTGGAAGCGGAAGGGGAAGTGAACGCCGTGCAGACTTGCCTCCACCTCCTCCCCCTCCCCCCCGGCTGATTCAGAGGATGGAGAGCGGATATGAGAGCAGCGAGAGGAACAGCAGCAGTCCAGTCAGCCTGGAACTGAACGTGGGCGACAGGTTAGCTCACAGACGCTTTAGGCCCGGAGCTGTTTGAAGGAACCAGGATTTAAGTCATATTTTAACTGCAAATGACACAGCTGCACACAGAAAATGAGCCTGATAATCCCTTCTTTACACAGTCTGTGTAGTGGTGTTGTTCTCCAGCTTCTGTTTGAAAGAAGTTGTTATTCCTCCACAACAAATCAGTTTAAATTAAATATCAAATAAGTGCTTTCCCCCCCAAAAAAGTAGAAATTATCTACTGTGTAGTTTGTGTAGTACTCACAAGCCCTGCGTTCTCTACAGTCCACTAATAGTCTGGTATCAAATGGGAGCGAAGCGCCTTAACAATAAAGTATATCAATACAAACAAACAAACATAAGAGCAAAACTTCTGGATATTTCCTGTGCAGCTTCATCCACGTTGTGCATACACATACACACAACATATTCCTTCATAAGAGGGTGTTCCCCAAATCCTTTGTTTAGCAATAATTGAATGATGATAGGATTTGGATGGGTTCCTTGGTCAAGTGGCTGATTTTTCAAGATTACCAGATGTCAAGGTGCTAAAGGACGACTCTCTCTCTCTTTTGTCCTTAGGGACTGCGTGGTGAAGAAGCCTTCTCCCTCCTCCTCTTCCTCAGGACCGGCATGGAGGAACATCAGGTCAAAGAGCAGTGGAGCCTTGCTGCAGGACCTCAGGGGGGGCCTTGGTACGAGTCTGACACGTCACTTCATCTCTCTACGAAACCTTTCCTTTTTGTTTTGCTCCTGAATAGCAGCATGTTCGGCACATATATATTATCTTTAAAAGGTATTCTCTTCATAAGAATATCAGAACAGCATCACCGCATCACTGTCCCATTCAGAAGCTCAGTGCTGTCTTTAGCAATAGTTAATAATAATAATAATAATAATTTAGAGAAGTGGGGCCTGAGACATTGTTCCATCTGAGGATGTTTAACTTGGACTGACTCTAATTTCCAACTTGATGTTGCTCAGAGTGACGAATCAATTTAAACAACCACTTAAACTGAAAAAATATTGAATCAGGCTGATCTGAATGAGTTTGTTGCCATAGTTCCTGTTGATGACTGTATGTGTTTGTTCAGCAGCGACATCCGTTGGCCGCAGCGAGCTGGACGACCTGCAGGAGGAGGTGCAGAAGAGAGCGAGGGAGGAGGAGCAGCATCGCCGGCTGGAGAAGGAGAGGGAGGCGGCGATCGGCTTCAACCCCCGACCCAGCAAATACTTGGACCTCGATCAGCTACAGATCCAAGGTGAACACACACACATTTGTAGTGCTTTTTGTAATACATTATTTATTTGTTAACAATGCACTCTACTTCCTCTGTAAATGCCAGTGAATCAGTAAGCGATTGAACAGAGATTCAGCCCATCACTGATCCAACTGTCGGTCATCTGTTGTAGTGTGTGTGTTTATGTCGTGGGTCAGCATGTGTGTGTGATAACAAGAATGTTCCTCATTGAGCAACTGAAAGGGCCCAGGTTAGCCAGCGCACAAAAGACACAATGGCCCATGCAGTAAAGTGTGTGTGTGTGTGTGTGTGTGTGTGTGCGTGTGCGTGCGCAACCAGGCTGCTCTCTCTAACCTCGTTTGTTGTTTTTGAGATTTTTCACTTTATTTTGAGCCCTCAACTTTTCCTACAAATAAGTCATTCATTCACCGTCTTCCTCTGATGTCAGTCTGAGAGCAGATTGTCAATTATTGCACCTCATACAAGCAAAGAATATTTTCATATTATTGGCTTAACTTTCTCTTATTTTCTTCGTACAATAGGCTTGCATGCAAGTGCCACTGCAGACAAACAGGATAATAACCACATAGTTACAAAGTGTAATTTTTGCAGTGTTCTCAATCTCAAAATTGCTGCAATTGCTAATAAATTCTTTCCAGTATGGAAAAACGTTGTTGCACATGACTCATATAAAAGGTTTGGACCCGAAGAGAAAAAGGCAAGTTTCCTAAATCACTTATGCAAACAACTTATGAGGGGTTCGTTCCATTGATCCCAATGTTCCATATAGAAAATGTAAAGCTGCTTTATGACAGAAATATGTACACTTTGGATTTGGTTCTATAGTCAATAAGTGTGCATGTGTTCGTCCTGCAGGTAAAGGTGATAGCTTTGAGAGATGTGTGTCGGAGGCGGAGCTTCTGCTGGACCAATCGGTGCGCCTGGAGCAGGCGGGCGAGGTCTCTGCTGTGCTGTCGGCCGTCAACGAAGCCGTCTGTAAGCTCCTCCCACTTCCCCCTTTGCCACACATGCAGACATATTCAGTATTTCACACTAAATAAACCCACTGGGAATGAGTTCAGCTCACCTCCTGCCCACCAACCCTCTGCTTTGTTGCTAATGGCAACCAGAGGAAGCAGAGTGGTCTGCTGATGAAAACCAATGCAGGGTTCCCGCGGGTCCTTAAAAAGTCTTAAAATTAAATTAAAATTCTGGTAATTAAGGTCTTAAATTGTCTTAAATTTCACGGAAAGTTGCTGTAGATATTAATGGTTTTGCCGGTGTGCTTAATGACGACGAGAAAGCACAGTGGCGCATCGTAAAACATCTAATAGTTGATTAATTTAGTATTGTGCGAAATGAGTCTCCGCAATTGAATAGCTGTTTACGGTACGTCGGCTACAGACGCTGACGTCAGGCTGCGTGTCGCCATTACGCGGTTGTCGATGTGAGGTTGAAAATGCAAAGAAGATGGGGCAAATTTAACGACAAGTGGATGGAAGAGGATGCATTTAGGAGGTGGTTGGCGCCGGTTGAAAACAACAATGAGGCAATGTGTGAACTACGCAAAAGACCTTTTCATTAGGGACCACGGGGCTGAAAGCCGTCGAGTCGCACATGAAAGGAGGAAAGCACCAGCGACACGTTGCAGCAGCTAGCCATAGCGGGGCCAGGTTAATTTCTGCATTGTTTGCAGCACGACCTAACGACGTTACAAGTTCACACGCCACCTCTCAGTCGGCTGTAACAAGTTTCATTTCAACACCAGACACCCAAAAGGCAGAGGTACTGTGGGTTCTCCATACTGTGACGAGGCACAATTCATTTAAATCTAATGATGACATACGTGGCGTCTCTGCTGCCATGTTCCGCGATCCGCAATCGGGTTGTTTAGTGTAATCCAAACTTATGTATGTTATGTTGGCTCTGTTCTGCATCAAAGGAATCACTTTGATTGTGTGTCACTAAGGGTTGTTCTCACACACACATACCACACTATTCCCTCTCTGCTACAACACCTATGCTTTCTCCTTTTAACAACAGACTCACTTCACTCTTCCCTCTCTAAACATTGAGACTCACATCGCATTCTGTTTGATCGGTCACTCTTATGCACACAGACTCACACACATGCAGCTCTACTGTTGTTGTTTCTGCAGCACAACACAAAAACAGATATAGAAATACTAAGCTATAAATCTTAATCCCCTCAATAACTGATGCGACAAGCGGGTGAAGGCTGGCCCAAATCGTCCCGTATGTTTAGATGGCGAGAGACCCCACAAATAGCCACATGTCACGATGTAATTATTGGAAACACTCTGTAGAACCATGAGAAAATCCTTGTTGGACAGAGACGGGGCCCAATGTTGCTTTGATTCTCCTGCAGTGTTTCAGGGCATTTTGGCTGACATGTTTATTTATAATTTTCTTTTAATACAACATTTTGTCTGAATATAATTTCCCAATTGCACCATTGATGACCAGACCTGGGTTATTGAGATCTCTCATGCCCACCATTCTCACACACACAACAATCACGTCTCATGAATTGATTTTCTGTCAGTTGTATATTTGGTTTTAAGATTTTTGCATGAAATCATCATAACAATAATTTTCTACATCTTTCGGTTGTTTCCTTATTTATTCTTTCCTGTGTTTTTTTTCTTTCTGTTTTGTATTTTTGTGTTGACATGTTATCCGGCTGCAGCCAAACTGCAGCTGGTGGCAGTCAAGGGCGGAGCTAGTAGTCAAAGCCGGCTGCAGCGCTGTATGAGAAGAGCCCGCAGCCTGCAGCAACGCATGCAGCTACTGCAGCAACAGCAGGACTCAGTGGCAGTCAGACAGCAACCACAGCAGCAGCAGAAGGAGGAGCAGGAGGAGGGGCAGCAGCAGCTGCAAGAACAGCCCAGGTACCCCCTGTAGTCTGAGCAGCCAAGCAGGAGTAGTATTAGCAAAACGTCACAGGTGCAAAATATAAAATTCCTAACAAGGCTAATTTTTAAAGCAATTTTATAGATGCATGTTCACTTGATAGATGGTGGACGTGAGCGTTTGTGTATCCATCCGTCCAGTACTCCTGTGCACTGCCTCATTTGCACAGGTTCTGGAAGCAGCCTAGTGTGACGTAGTTTGTCAAGGAGAAGAAAAAGTCAGTGAGAGTAGAGGTACCACAGATTCTGGTTTTTGTCTCTTCCCAGGACTTCATGAAGCTGAACGCAGTCACGGCAAAAACTGTAATTAGACATTTTCAAGTAAAACTGAATCAACCGGCTCGGTTCTCGACTTTAAAGCCAATCATTTATTTGTACTACATGAAACAATTAATTTTGTTTGCTTCTTTAAAAAAATACATGGGGAAGCTTTATCGTGTCATGCTAGTGAATAGGAGACTACGGTTGTGCAACCAACATTACATTTCTTTTGGTCAAACATTATTTATTAGGGACTGTAATGAACAGGCGGCCTGCAGAGAGCCTTAGCAAGAGAGGTATTTGTTGTGGAGAGACGTGTTGTGACAACCAGCTCATGCGAGTGTGAGCCATGGGGAGAGATTGTCAACACTCTCCAGGAAACAACCTCCAAAAAACAGACACACACACACAACGGGCCAAAGCTCTCGATCGACACCATCTGTTCCAAACATACTGCAGGTCAACACTTACGCACTTCCTTACTTTGTCTGTCTGTCTCTCTCTCTTTCTCTGCAGTGAAAAGCCTCTCTCGCTCCAAATACTTTTGACAGACAGACAATCCGACCAGTCAGCTGACAGTCAGGACCAACAGGCCCCGCCTCTCTCTCCCTGCCTTGTTAAGCCCCTCCATCCCCAAACCAACTCCGTGTCTGACTGCGGCTCCGGCGCCCATACAGGTTCACCCAGAGACTACAGCATGACTGGAGGCCCCTGCTTTGTCTTTGGGAAACCCCTCACCAACACTAGGTCCCTCCCTGCCCTGTGCGTGGACAACTTGGAGGAAAACCACTTGGGAGACTTGGCTCCACCCCCTCAATCTAAGGAGGCGGAGCTTCCTCCCCAAAGAACCATAACGGCCCCTATTTGCATCCCAGTAAAGGCCCCGCCCCCACCCAGGCCACCCTCTCAAACCTCTTCACCTGTTGGCACCGATGACAGGGGTCATCTGACGATGTCGGAGGCGCCTCATTCCACCAGAAACCCACATTGCAAGCCCCCCCCAGCTTGCCCCGGGGTAGCCCCACTCCCATCATCCTACCCAGTCAGGAATTGGTCCTGCTTATACTTGGACCCTCACGATGTCGTCGATTCTCCCGTTGACCCCCCAATCAGCTCGCCTCTTTACTCAACTCTCAACTCCAATTCCAATGTTCTCCCTCTGTCAGCCGTGAGCTGGCCCGCTCCGCCCTCCTCCCCGCCCCCCAGTCAGGACCACATAGCGGCCCTGCCTGTGGAGCGCTGGGCGGAAAACGTCAATAGATACTACGGCTCCCAGAATGCAACGGGAGGAGGGGGAGAGGATGTGCCCTGTGAGGAGCTCTCGGAGCTGGACTCTCTGTACCAGGCCAGTCTGCTGGCTCCCAGCATGCACCGGGGCAGCCGTGGAGTCAGTCCTCAACCGGCCAACAATAAACCAGGTAGTTACTGCAGATATACAAGTTCAATATTTCAAGTTATCCTGATGCTCCTAAATGATGCTAAGCTACCGTCAACAATTCACTCACCACTACAGGGGGATCAGTGTCCCTGTGAGATGTGCAGCTACAGAATAAAGTTATTCCGTATTTGTGTTGTACTGCTGCAACACACCCTTTTATTGTTGGTGTTGTATACAGTTAATGATCATTTGTGTGTGCGTGTGTTTTAGGTGTGAGGAGAATGCTGTCGGGGTCTGGACGCTCCAAGACCCCAACGGCTGAGATTGAGAGATGCGCCTACAGAACACCTGTTACAACTCATAAGGTGTGTGTGTGTGTGTGTGTGTGTGTGTGTGTGTGTGTGTCCAATAATTATTTTACATGTTTCAGATGAATTTCACAACCCAGTTTAATTTTGTTAATGTTTGCCAGGCCTTTCATTTCAAAGAACAATGATAAACTAAAGGGACACATGTACACCAACAAAGCATACCGGTTATACTCTATCTATAGAGAAGCGGTCGACAGGGTCGATTTGGGGACTATGGCTTTAGTTTCACAAGTTCCACTATTTATTTTCTCCTTTTTTTCAAAACAAACAGTATCTTGATTAAGTAAAGTTTGTAAAATGTTTTTCTCTGCCGGCCTCTTACCTCTGCAGTTGGCTCAAGGTGAAGACGAGAGCTACAGTGCAGCAAACCTGCGACGCATTGCACGCAGCCTGAGTGGAAGTGCCATGGGGTCACGACCCCAAAGTCCCAGCTCCTCCCACAGCTGTGTAAGATACAAACACACACCGGACTGTTGACTGGTTTTCAGTTTACATCGTGCTGCCATGTTAGGCTCACTGTCTGAGCAGCTAAATATATTTTGGGTTTAATTAAAAGAGGCCACTTCATTCCTCTGCAGCAGAAAAGTGTTTTGTAGAACTGCAAGTGATGCTAAATTCCTCAGTACTTTGAAGGAAATAAATGATCATGTCTTTGCACAGCTACATGTTTTAATGTCTCTACAGCAGTGAAACGCTTCTGTGTGGAACCCTGTGAACATCTGTACAGCTGTTCAGGTTTCTAAAGCAGCAGCCAGTGCTTCTCTGCAGAGCCTCTTTCTCTCAGTGCCTCTTCTCGGTTGCCGCTGGCGTTCAGCCTTCTTGTATTCCGCCCCCAGGAATCGCCTGCGGGCCGGCGCATTAAAGATTGATCACTGATTTAGTTTCCCATTAGGCTTTTAACCTCGGCCTCGCTGCGAGGCGAAGCCGGCCTGATCTGAACCGACAGCTGAGGCCTGACTCCAGATATCCGACTGAGAAGGAGGAGCAATCCTGATGTTTAGCCAGAGGATTGTATGCCTCGCTGTAGGAGGGTCGCTATAAAAGTCTGTCCGCCTCGTCTGTGATTCAACCACCGACAGGAAAAAAAAAGCAGCGTTGCCAAAGAAAAGCTTTATTTTTTTCTGTTGAACAGAATCAAAGTTCTGACTTATTGTCATTTACTGCCACACAAATCTAGATCCCACGCTCCATCGTACCTTCATGAAGAGTAAAACTGAAGTCAACAAGCCACAAAATCAACTTCTGATGAGACGCCAAAGAAAAGAAACAAAAGAATGTCCTAGTAAATCTTTATAGCTCCAGTTGTTATCATATCATTATTGATATTTTTATAAATGTTCAATATAAAAAATCATATGTATAAAAAGCTGCAAAAGGACGAAACTAAGTGGGCTAAGTGGACAGGTATTGCAGGCTTGAATTAAGGAAAAAATCCTCTTCACCTTTTTCCATTTCTAGAAAAACAAACTTGCATCTTGGAGATACAAGGCTTTCACAAGCGTCTGGTTTTATGTTGTCATTTTTCAGTTTTCCCTCAATCATGTTAACTTGTTTACATTTTTTTTATCCTTCCCTTATTCCCCACAATTTCTATTTCCACTTCTCATTCTGTATTTCTTTTCTGTCCCGTGATGTTTTATCATGTTCCTACCGTTTCTTTTCTTCCATCTTTCTCCATCACATATCCTCCTCATTAATAATCCTCCCCTTTTTTATTCTACCTCCATCATCATTTTCATTTATCCTCATCTTTCCTTTGGCCTGAAGGAGCCCCCTATGTCCAGGCCCCTCCTCAAACACTCTACCTCTTCCTCCTCCCTCCTCCGTCGCCCAAGCGCCTCCTCCCTGCCCGTCCCCTCGTCTTCCTCAACCTCCTTCACTGCAGACCACTCCTCCCACCTCCACCTTCTCCAACACCACCAACCCCGAAACCACGGCCCCCCAGCTCCTGCACATCCTCCACAGCACCCTCCCTTGCAGACATCACGGCCCCCCAACCTGGGCCCCTCATCCTGGGGACACTCAGGTAACATACTGGCCCCCCACCTCCACCTCCACCGTCACTTTCCATGAGCACCATCAAAACAACTTGCATTGAAATTCCCTTATTAATTTATTCTTTTTGTGCTCTAATGTGGAGATTATTCATCAGCAACAGTTTTATTATTTCTCATTCTATATTCTTATTATTAGTGACCGCATCAACTCGTCCCCTCTGTATTCTGATTTTAGTACCCAAAATGTAAATAAATGAATAATTAAATGAATGAATAAAAAACACTTATTTCGGGTTTATGGAGAAAATTAAGCTTCATTTAAATAGAGCTGGTTGCTAACAGAAGTTTACAGTAAAACATTTTCCGATTTAACTGAAAATAGTTCTGAGTTTCAAAAACCGCAGGACATTCAGTCTGTCAACGTCTCTTATTAAACAGATTTTTGCATGGTTTTCTAATTGCGTCTCCTCCTCCTCTTCAGAAGCTGGACCGAGTCTCCAGCAGCCGTTTCTGGTTGTGTCTGACAGGCGTCCGTCTCTCTCTGGTCAAAGCCTCCACAATGTCGCGTTGAGTTACGGCACTCTGCCCCGTGCTCCTCGCCGAGCGCCTCCTCCTCCCTCCTCCTCCTCCACCGCCACTCTCCCCAGGCCCAGAGCCGTCTCCGGTCCCGCCCCCCCGCTGCCAAGTCCACATAGTCTCTACGCCACCCTTTCCCGCCCTCGGCGCTCTGCCAACGCTAACGGTCACTACCGGCAACCGTCGCTGCCCATTAATCTCAACGGCTCCGCCCATTACGCCCCGGCCCACCCCAGGGGGGCGGGGGAGGCCCCCGCCCAGCCGCTCCGCCTCGACGTGCCCCCTGAGACCGACTGGCGTCGAGAAGCCGACTACAGAACTCTCAGCTCCTCTTGGGACCCCCGCGCCCTCAGCCGCCCCCACCAGCCCATCCAGCACCACCAGCACCACCAGCCCCTCCAGCACCACCAGCCCCTCCAGCGGACCAACTCCCACCAGCCCCCCCGGCCCCGCAGGGACCCCCAGCTCTGCTCGCTGTGTCAGCAGCTCCCTGCTGAGCCGCCTCGTCCCTACTGCCGCTCCTGCGGAGCGTATGTGGCTCGGTTCCGCCCGGTCAGCTGATGCGGTCAGCTGACTCCTGCAGACGCCACAGTACACGAGTCCTGTTCCAAATGTCTTGTATCCATCAAGATAAAGACTTTTTTTTTTTTTTTTTTTTAGTATTTAAAATGTGCCAATGTTTCTTTGAATCCAGTGCTGACCATAATCCTGTCATCAGCGCGGTGGATGTCTCCCTTTTGGAATAAAACTCCACTGCTCTTGGGTCTCAAAAGAACTTCTCTGAACCGTCTCTGGTTTCTTCTCTTTCCCACAGAGAAGCAGCCACTTCATAACCTTTCAACCCTCGTGCTCCATGTTTCATTCCCTCTCTCCTGAGTCGGGACGGCCTCCAAATGAAACTTGTATACATATCTTCTATACGATCTGTGGACGTCTGCTGGATTCAAGCACATAGTAGATGTTACTAAGACAAAGCACAGCGACGTGTACGTGGACCAGCAGAAGAAGGCTGCTGATGATCGAGGACAGAACAGAAAAGAGAAAGCAGTGCGATCATGGAGACACTGCTGCTAACCGATGTTTGAAAAATGTGAAGAAAACACATAAAATAATCAAGTTAGTTATTCATCTACTCGGTGTTAGATTGATCATATGCATTTTGATTTAATGGAATAAAAAAAGGTTTTATGATTATAAATGTTTTAATTCAAACTATTTTGATAACTTGGAAAACAACGTTAATCAATTAATACACCTAAATAAATCTTCATTCCAGGGTCTTAAGTGACAGTTTACTGCTTCTTTTAGTCTTATATGTTGATAATAAAATGTGCATCTTTTGTTTAGTCCAACAACCAGACTGAAACACTTTCATTCATTTAGTCATTAACTGCTTTTAGTACGTATTAATTAATCCTTTCTGGATTACAAACTCAAGTGATCAGCTGTGGATCACACTTCTCTTTTATAACTGATCACATTTCTTTGCATTTATCAGAATTATTATAATACAAAAAATCACGCGGAAGGCTTCGGAACAAATACTTCCCAACATTCATTGTGACAAAGTATTACTTGTTGGTTACAGTTTATTCAGGCCTGCAAAATACTTTCATTTTTGATGGAAATCATGTTTGTTTAGTCTATAAAAGTTGCATCACTGTCACAGAGAACGAGGGGATTTCTGTTTTACAAAAAATAAGTGATTAACAAATCGCTGCCGCTTTAGTTTAATGCTTGATTTCATTCAATTGCAAATAACCAACTAATCCTTTCAGCTTTGGTGACTCCGTTGGCGGTGATTCAGTTGAAGATTGACGTGTCTGTTTTTGTGATGTTCTGATCTTCCATGCAGCTGAACTGAGGTCCGGTTTCTAAAGTCGGGACATTGAGGCACTAAAGGAAGTCGTGAAGTCGCTTCTTTTCTGCTGTTTGTGTCCCAGAATATAAATCTTATTACTCTATTTATTTTTGTAGGCTTGTGAGAGTTGTGCATAGATGAAACTATTCTACCTGAATATATTATAGTCTAATTTTCTAAAGGTAGTCAGTCGCCTTGTTTGGTATGTGGAGCCTTATAATGTACACCAGGCTGATTATTAACTAAAGCTTTTATTTTGACAGCTAATATTTAGCATGATGTTTTATTGTAGCCTTGAGACTTTGGTGTGCATTTATTGTCACAACACTATATGCAGATCTTTCTTAGCGCAGCAACTCAACTGCATTTAAACTCTACTAACTATTTAGTGCACTTCAGAAGTGTTGATTTCTTTTGACGTGCTTGTTGCTGGTTTGTCGACTCTCTCCCGTTGTTTAGGGAGACGCTCTGCGTAACGTTTATGGGCTTGTTTTTGTACTCTGATGTCTTTGGATTGGTTTAAGAGATGAGTGAAGGAAAACCTTTAAACAAGAATCCTGTTTTAATAGCTTCTGCCGAGCTGATGTGTCACACTGCCAAGTACCGGTCTCGCTCCAAATGAGCCAAAACTGGAGTTTAACGTTCATTTTAAATCATTTCACCTGCCAAGATATTGGTCATCGGCATTTAAAAATTGCATAAATGGTCCTGATTTATTCGCTCCAAAAATCTGTTGTTTGACTGACAGGAAGTCGAGTTTACAGAATAGCTTTTTTATTTGGTTGTACTTCGTGCAGACCAGTGCTGTGTTCATAATAGTAGTGGAGTTATTTTTTCACCATGTTAAACTTTAATGGGCTGCTTTTGCTTTGTTAGATTTTATTTTTTTTGGTATTTTTTTTTAATGCTTATTTTTCTACATTGTAGACACAGATGATACGATGATTAAAATGTTAAACGCAAAACTCCAGTGTTTTATGGATTTTATTTGAGTTCAAATGGAAATAAGCACTTTAAGCTGCTGAGTAACAATTTACACCTGAAACAAATGACCATTATTATGTTACATATTTTTAAAGACATTTTACATTTGGAGGCTCTACTAAATTCTTCATGAATGACTTTCAAGATTCTTTTTTGTACAGAGCTTTGTCATTTTTTATGACCTATATTTTAAAATGTCATGAAATCCTAGTGTTTGACATACTTCACATTTTTGCGTGTTTCCCATGTCCCTCTACCGAATTTAAAAAGCAACACTTTAATGCAGTGTGTTGAATGTTATGACATCCTATAGACGTTTTACATGTAATGCTCTACATACATAAAATTTTCATGACAAAGTTGTTATGAAATCACGTTTTAAGAAAACGCGTTACTGCGATTTTTGTATCAAGTTTAGATAAGAATGTTCTGTCATCTGACTTTTCTCAACTCATTCATGACTTTACACCAACAAACTGCTCCGCTCTTCCTTTTATATAAATATATATAAACATACTTTTACCTTTTACTACATCGGTACTTTACAAACATTACACATGCAGGTGACTTTAGATACAAACATATCTATATAGAAAATAGAATATAAATCCCTTTGGACCCAGATGATGTGATGACAGCAGCAGATCTGTGGTTAGCCTAGCTTAGCATAAACCTGGTTTTGTGTGTCTGGCCATTTTTTCACCCAGTTTGTAGTCACATAGTTACGTGTGAACTAAAAAGCAGTTTTTAGTTCTGTGCCGGAATCATTTGCAGTCGACTGGAACATGTCTGCATGTGTTTTAACTCCCAGAGTCTCGGATCGGTGTCTCCCCCCCCTCCCTTCCCTCCCCCCCTCCAGGCGTCAGATGGTCCGGTGGAGCAGCAGCACGATGAGCACATTGTCCTCGGACCTCGTCCGCACCGCTCCCTTCAGTTCCAGCGTCACCTCTTCACCCCCCCGCAGCCGCAGCAGGCCCACGTCGGTGAGCGGCCAGGCGGCCGACGCCTCCCGCCGGTGCAGGACCAGCGGGGGGGCGCCCGACCCCCTCCTCAGGACCACGTGGGAGCGGCCGGGCCTCAGGTCCAAGGTGAGGACGAACAGGTAGATTCCGTCCAGCGGAGCCGCGAAGGTGCCCCCGCCGGAGTAAAGCTGACCCCGGTTCAGCGAGGCCTCCATCGCCATGACGCTGTTCAAAACGCGCACAGGAGACCCGGCCACCAGCAGCAGGGCGTCTCCCGATTGGCTGAGCGGGACTGGGGCCACACCTGGAGGGCAGAGGAGGGCCAGGTGTCACAAGGGGCGCTTTCTTTATAGATACAACTATAATTGTATGTACTCTTATAAAAGACACTTTTAACATAATTGTTGGGACATTTTTTTATACATCATGAAAGAATTTACTATTACTTTAAAATGATGTCTCTTCTATACCGGACTATTACACTTGCACTATTTCTTTAAAACTTTGATATCAAACACCATCCCATGAATCGTCACATACTCTATAATGAATTAAAGCCATTTATATGGATATTTCTGTACCGTATTGATTTGCATCTCTTTATCACACGGCGCAAGTTGAGGTAATCATTCATTCAAAGCTTGTCCGGTTAAGCGAGAACCTCACTGAAAAGTACAGGTGCAGCCCGCCTGCACGGAGTCCGCGCTCACCTGACGTGTCCCTCCTGCTGCGAAGGTTTCCTCCTCTTCCAGATCCTCCTCCTCTCTTCTTCTCTTTCTTTCCGTCTCGGTCCTTCACCAGCTGCCACAGTTTGTCGAGCTCCAGCGTGGCGTCGGAACCCACCAGCGCGTCGGCGTTACTGAAGACGTTCTTGAAGACCCTCAGATGTTCCTCCAGCCCCCTCTTCAGCCACATCACCTCCGCCTGCAGTTTGGCCTGCGCCTCCCTCTCGGTTGAAGTGTTGAAGGACTTCTCCTCGAGCAGGAGCACCTTCAGCTTCAGCTGCTCCACCGTTTTCTCCAGATTCCACAGATCACTGCCGTCTCCTCTGTGCCCCGGGTGGAGGAGGAGCTGGCGCTCGCGGGCCGGGACTCCACCGCTCCTCATGCTTCCCGGGAGCCCGTCGTCAGAGAGAGGATGCGAGGAGGAGGAGGAGGAGGTGGAGGAGGGCTGGTCAGCAGATGGCACCTCCTCTCTACCTCCTGAGCAGGAAGGAGAAAGACATTAGGCCTGGTACTAAAGCAAGGAGCTGGAGATGGTGTTTAAGATGCTGACGGTTTAATCCCAACATCCCTTTTTCTTTATTTTACTCTCCTCTCCGCTGTATCTAATGACAAAATAGTCCTATTTAAATACTGTCAAATTGCAGTACAAATTAAAGCTGCTTGTATTTCCATTTCATGGGGCTGTGTACTTGTACACTACACCTCAGAGGGAAGTATTAGGCACCGATAATGGGAACCAGACAAAAAGTTGTTATATTTCCCCACTTGTTTTCCTTTGGGCAGGTTGGATTTTTGTAAATGTCTTTAAATGTCAGCATTGCATCGGCAGTATTATGTTACACTTTTGACTTTTACATGTTACTACATCTTTGAACCACACTTTTCTTTCCATGGGATGTAAATGTTTTATCTTTTTTGACCATTTATTTTTTCACTTTGTCCATGACATTTTTTGTACAAATATTTTTTGACCAACTATGTTTTGACATTTTCTTTCCCATTACGTTTCTCCAACGAATATTTGACTTTTTCCCCTTGATATTTTTTGACAATATGTTTTTTTTTTACTTTTTTGGTCCATGGCATTTTACGACCACGTTATGTGTCTCTTGCTTTGAGTCTGTCTTGGTGCAGGTGGTAAAGTTGATATAACAGTTTCTCTCGGCTGCCACTAGATGTTGCTACAAAGCTGTATTTGACTCACAGCACCAACGTTTAGACCAATTTAACACAACAATTAGATAATGTACATCCCTGTGAAGAGACTAAATAAGTATATTCATTGTTTTCTTATTACAGTATTTGTCTGCAGCTGCACCACATTTTAATTATTGATATACTCATCAATAATAATACTACTAAACATTTTGGAGGCAAATAACTACACCACTGCATCTGTTGGATTACTTGAGTTATCCTTCAGATTAGTATAATTTGTTTAGTATACATTAGTAAATTGTGTGATTAGTACACAGTGATATAATGTGAAAGTGTATCTAAATTGTACTTGTGTCTGTTTTGTAGCTGCAGTGCGACCGCTCCTACCTGGTTTGTTGCTCTGCAGAGAGCTGATGCTCACGCTGTTGTTTCTCAGTTGCTCCTGCAGGAGCCTCAGCTGCTCCTTCAGAGCTGGGATGGAGTGGGTCTCCTGATCCTGGAAGGACCACTCCAGGAACTCCAGCAGCTCCTCGCCCAGCAGCAGCTCCAGCACGTCGTTGTGTCTGATGACGTCCGTCAGGAGGGACTTGAAGGAGCCGGACAGGCGTTGCATCTCCTTCACCAGCTTCCCGTCCGCCAGCCTCAGGTCGGAGAGGTCGGCCAGCGCGGCCGTCGCCGAGCTGCTCAGCAGCGCCAGGCTTTGATCCAGACTCTTGGTCCTCTGTTGCTCCGAGGCCAGAGACTCCTTCACCTGCAGGACCAGCGTGTTTGATTTCTACTCGTGTTTTTTGGACCAACTTCTGCTGGGATCTAATCCTTTTATTTTAACTTCTTTGAGTTATTAGAACAAGTTGTGGGTGGTTCTAAACTTCTAGGGGCCTTTGCTCCTCTACTATAAACAATGGGGTGAAACTTAATATAAAGGACAAAGCAAAGCTACTAAAAGTCTTTTTAGTAGAAAATGATCAAACAGTTGTATTTCCCGTACCTGCTGGAGGCCGTATTGGAGCACCTCCACCGCCGGCTCCCAGTCGTCTGCTCCGCCCCACTGCTGCGCCACCTCGCCGCTCTCCTCCAGGGCCAATCGGTTTTCATTGGCCAGCTCCGTCACATTGGCCACGCCCCTCCCCAGTTGAGCGATAGCGGCCCTCAGCCCATTGCAGTCGCAGCCTGCTGAGGAGTTCTGCTTGTAGAAGGCATCGTACAAATAGTCCACGTCCACGTCCGTCTCTTGAAGGTGCTTGCCCTGCCGGCTGAGGTTCCCCTCCAGCTCGTTGACCCGCCTCAACACCACCTCCCTCGCTGCCTCCACCTCCAGCCCCGTCTCCATGAACTGGATCTGGCTGGTCCTGGCCGTCTGGTTGATGTGCCTCTCCAGCTCCTTGACGTCTCGCCTCAGCTGCTGGACATCCACCGAGTTGACCTCCACGTCCTCCATCAGGCCGTCCACCTGCACATGAGCATGTGATGAGACACTTGTTCATCCTGCTGGGGGGGGGGGCTTTTAAGCACTGATCGATCATGAACGACTGCACAACGAGATGAGTTTCGGTTCCACCTTCACTGTGTTGTTGACCACCGCGTTGTTCAGCCGCTCGACGGCCTCCCAGAGCGCCGAGGTGTCTGAGGGCAGCAGCGGTGGGTGGGGGGGGAGCAGGGGGGTCGGAGGGGGGTGAACCTCCAGCTGATCCTCAGCGGGCTGATCCTGGTCCAGCTTCAGCTCAGTTAGTGTAGCATTCATGGCCTGCAGGCCGACCTGGGATCAGAGACTGAATCAGCCTTTAATCAAGCAAAAATGGATTGCTTCAAAAAGCGACAGAAGGTCTAAGGAATACAAATACTCATTGGAGAGCTGTTGTCCACCGACCTGAAACATCTTCTGGTGGCGTTTCAGCTTCATGTCGATGTCCATCTTGAAGCTGGTCAGGTTGTAGTGCAGCATTGCATGCTGGGAGTGGAGCCTGTTCTCCATGTCTGTCCGCTGGCTCTCCATCTGCCTCCGGACCTCCCCGACATCCTGAAAGGCCTCATCCAGTTTGGCATTTAGACGCTGCTCCACTGCCTCGTCGAGTTCCCGGCTGGCCGGGGGCCCGGACTGCATCTCCTCCTCTGGCTCGCCGTCCTTCAGCCGGGCCACGTCCCGGGCCAAGTCCCCCACCTGCCGGCTCAGCTGCTCCAGCGAACGGTTGAAGCTCTGCAGGACCGGCTGCAGCTGGGACATGACCAAGGCCATCATGTGGGGGGCGGGGAGGGGAGCGGGGGCTTCTGGGTACAGGAGGGGCTCAGCATCCACCTCATCAACTGGGGAAACAAATATGTTTGATTAGAAATGGCACCAAAAATCTACTGCTCACTAACAACGATCCACTGATGAATCACAGCAAAGCCAAGTTGCAATGTGTTTTTTCGTTTAGAGGAATGAATAAAGGTGTTATGGATTAATCTCTTGGTGTCACAATATGGTGAACAGCAGATCATAATGTCAATATACATCCTCTGAAAATATGCACGAGACTCATGCCCTTTTAGTTCGAGCTAAAACAAAGATAAGATAACAAAATGCTTTCCATGCACCCGCCCACACTCAGAAAAACAGAGTTAATGTTAACAAGAGACAACATGTCCCCTATTCATGGCTCCCTTGGGACGGGTGAAGGGTTGCTGGTTGGTTCGCCCTGAAATGGCACCGGTTTAGTCTACAAAATGGAATACGAACACAGTGCAACCATCTGCCTGGAAAACGCTCCTGCAGGGAAACTCAAACGGCTAAAACGGCTCAGAGGCCTCCGAAAACACTGGAAAAACACTGAAAAAACATTCAAAAACGACACAAGCTGAGTTTCCAGCAGGGGAGATAAGATGAGTTTTCACAGTTGGTTTCTGTTGGTTCAGCAGAGACCGACAGAGTGAAGCCAGAACACACAGTGACCGCGGGACGCTGCCCGTCCTCCGGCTGGACCTCGTTCACCGGAGGGCCGAGGCCGGAATCGCATCCCATGAATCCGTATTTATGGTGTCAGCAAACTCCCAGACGCTCCACTGCTCACACAAAATCCTAAGCCTTAAAAAAAAAAAGCTTTAACCAAAAAAAGGCGTCTTTCACTCGGCCCTGATCTAGTTTCAGCATCACTACGTGACCCTCTGGTGGGTCCACAGAGGACGTCTTTCATAAGCCCCGGACACTGGTGCCAATCTATGACTCAGTCAGAGATACACAATCTATAGAATCTGCTTTTATATTGGCATGGCGTTGGCAGATATTTCAGGTGACATAAGAGACAGAGAGAAGGTTGTTTGGCAAAGTAAGGATATTTCCCCCAACGTTATAATACAAATTTATTTTTAAAAGTGAGGATGTTGATGTTCATCCAATTCTTCAAAGGGATGTTTGACGGTTCAGGCCTCCCGTCAGGTTTCGGTCCGGTTCAGGGTCGAGTGGGATCCCGGCAACGAGGGTCCCCGCAGGTAAAGCAATACAAACAGTGTGCGTTTGCCTCGGGTCCAGACACAACTACGTTAAACGCACAACCACATGCAGCTGCAGGGTCCTGAGAGGTCAAAGGTCACTGTACAGTGAGGCAGTTTCAGGTGACCTCCAGCTGCAGGGGGGAAGTGTGCGGGGGGCGTTTGGAGGTTGAAACCCAACGCACCCGAGTCAGCTGGGAGTGTTTCTATAAAACGATGGTGTGATTTACGGACCTGCCGAAGAGTCAACTTCCTGTCCGGACAGAACGACGTCTGTTGCACAACTGCAGTTCTGTTTTCTTCTTCTGGCCTTTTTGGTTGTAAATGTCACAATTAAAAAAGGTAATACAACACTTTAATGAGACACGAGGGGAACAGATGCAACAACAGCCCCAGAAACTGAGCACAGGACGAGAAAACTTCATCTTCTGGTCAGTTCGCCTCACGTTTAAAATGCATTTCTGAGATTATAACAATTTGTTGAGACAAAGAAGACAAGAAGACATTTTTCTGAAAAGCCTCCAAAGTGTGTTGATATTGATGAGCGATTTTAAGGCTTACTTAATGTACTTTATATTACAAAACACACATTTAGTGCACGATTACCCTACAACAAAGATACACGCAGGGTTTTCCAAACTGTCCCGCTGCTACGGAAGGAAACGGCTGACTTCAGATTTGATGCGACTGATGGAGCGGAAGAATATTCCTTTAAAGATGATGTAATGCGGTGGCAGGTCAAAGGTCAGAGGGAACTGAGCAGTGTGGGAATCTAGAGCGAGGTCGATCCCCAAACTAGCTCCACACAGGGCGGATGAAGTGTGTGTGTGTGTGTGTGTGTGTGTGTGTGTGTGTGAGTGATGTAATGCACACGCTGGTCTGGTGACACAGGAGGTGTAATATAGTGTCATCTTATTATCCACACACACAATGTTTGGGAGATAGAAGAAAGGCAGGATTTCCCGTGGAGGAAGTGTGTGCGCCTGTGTGTGTGTTCGTGGTTACCGGAGGTGTCATTGCAGCGGAATGGTGTGTGTGTGTGTGTGTGTACATTAGAAGTCCCTCATAGGATATGAATGAGACATCACAAATAATACCACACACACACACAAGTACACAGCCCTTAATGATCATTGTGTGTTTTAAAGTTAACATTATTTTTTTTTAAAGGAAACATGTCAGATCTAGAACATATTTTTTAGCGTCACGTCGGATGAGAACTCACCAGGAGGCCCGTGCAGCTGATGGGGCGGATGTGGCCTCTGGTGGGGTCGGTGGGGTCGATGGTGGTGAGGATGGGGATGGGCGTCGGGGTTGTGTCGGTGGTCCGGTTCCAGGGCCGGGGGTGTGCTGCTGGGCTGGTCGTCGTACGGGACCTGGTGGTCGTTCTGTTCTCTGTTCGGGTCGCCGCGCTGCTGCTGGAGCCGCTGCTGCAGACCTGAGACACACGGAGCGGAGTAATAAATACAGGCCGATACAGTAAAGTAACAGTAAAGCTCCGTTAATCTGAATTGAACTGGGAGAAACAGGAAGTCAGGCAGACGGCTAGAGAGTGACGGGGGGGGCGAGGAAGTCCTGCGAAGCCACCAAACTGGTTTCCTTCGTCATCTTCAGCTGAGACCAAAAACACACGCCAGGATTCAGGTGTGTCCCAATTGACATCCGAGTACATTTACTCCAGTGTGGTGGCAGCGGTGATTCTCCAGAGAAGCACCAGCGAGATCTGCAGCTCCCCTCGACTTCACGCAGCTCGAGCTCATTCTTTCATCTGCCAGACCCACAACTTTGCTGGTTCGCTCCGAATTTTAGTTTTTCACAGCCACAAAAAGCCATTTGGACTCGACGCGTACATTTCCACAGCGGGTCTCTCCACGTACAAGAGGTGGACACAATAACAGAGACGCACTTATTGTGTGAGCGTGTTGAAAAGTCGCTTGTGATGACTCACCACTGAGCTGTTTGTATTTTAAGGTGTTCCTGTTATTGTGTACAGTCTCACTCTGCTGGGTCGCAGTTCTGTTGATGATTTAATTACGTTGACTTCGACCTGCAGGAAGTCGGTTCAATCGGAGGAGTGGTGGGAGCGGACTGTACCGTTGGAGGTGTGCGTGTGTGTGTTTGTGTTGCTGCCCCTTTGTTTGTCTTTCTTTGTTAAATCGAGCCACTAAAGGCCAAAGGTCTATTTTAGTCAGAATTCTTTCCTGAAACATAATGTTTTGATTCTCAGAGTTCTCGGTGCTTCCCTCATGGTCCAAATACTTCATGTTATGTGCACGACCAAAGTTGTTTTGTACGTGGAGGACAAAACACTGCAGGTTCAACCAGAAGGACGACTGAAAGGGCAGAAAGAAACGGTTCAATGACAATAGAGGAAGCCTCCAGTCAAACGTTTGGCCTCAAAGTATGTGCAGATTTATATCAGAACAAGTTCCTTTTTCAGTGAACAGATGCTGTGATGCTGATAACATCTGGAAAGGTGCGCTCAGTCGATTGCACCGTCCGACGTGATGAAGAAGTCCTCTCAGCCATCAGACTCAAAAAGGTCCTCGCATACAAACACCGTTCCTCGTCCGCCTCTCCGCCTCTGAAACGTCCTTCACCAGGACCATGGGCAGAAGAATCCGTCATCCGACCCCCACCCGACTGTGCCGGGCTGAATTTTAAAACAAACAAACCTCCTGTCCGCTCTCCCTTCCTTTACTTCATCAGGTCACAGTAACATTCATCCACTGTCAAGCTGCAATTTCCCACTCTCTCAGTGTGTGAGTCACTGTGACGGAGGGGGATGGGGGTTTGGATCTGGCGGTTCAGGGGGGTTTTTGGGGGGGTGGGGGGTCTCCGTGCCCTGGTCCTACGGGAGAGGCTTGAGACCTCGTCCTGACCTGAACCGGAGGGTTTGTCAAAGCTGAGCTGCCCACACTTTGTTGAAGAAGCAGGGATGACTCACACTACTAGAGTGTGTGTGTGTGTGTGTGTGTGTGTGTGTGTGTGTGTGTGTGTGTGTGTGTGTTCCCATGCACAGATGGGACGAAAAAAGGAAAACAACGTAAAATGAAATTCTAACCAGACGGGATAACACATGGACGTTAGAGGACTCCATGTCAAACAAAAAACGCTCCAGCTTGACATTTCTCGCTGAGAGTAACGTAAGAGGCTCCAGGAGGCTGATGGGGAACCACCTGTTGGTCCAGTCTAAAATGTCTCAATACCAATAATTAGACGGGCCGATATAGAAGTCTGTGGAGACCCTGGACCCGCGGGGGAGCGTGTCTCGTGGTGGGAGGCGAGCGGTCTGATCGTACCTGGATCGAGGAGCTCTGTTCTCACGTTGTCAGATCCTCCAGTCGGAGCCGAGCTTCCAGAATCCGGCTGTGCACCAGGGACTGTCGGTCAAAACACAACAGGCTTTAAACACGGCAGACACACACACATGTGTACGCGCGTTTATGTGTATGTACCGTATACGTACACAAGTTACAGGAAATACTTTTGTATTTTCATCAACAAACAAAAATGGCTGAGAATAGAAGAGAGGACGTCCTTCTTTAGATGACTGTTAAACACTGCCACGTTTCCCACGCACTCGCATTTAAAACCTGGACTGAATCAAGTTCCTGAGCGATACCAAAGTTGTTTTAGTAGAAAATAGACTCCTGAAAGCGGGAAAACGAGGGGCCGAGTTCTCTCTTCAGGAACCACTTGGGATCGTTTCCAACACAAGTATCTGAATGTGTTGCGTGAATCCTGATTCATGTCGTGCTACACGTTCTACTGCAGACTGCAGCTGTGTGAACCTTCTTCCCACCTGAGTCCTCACAGTTGTGTCCTCCGTGTCCCGGGCAGCAGCGCCACAGCAGAGCGCTGGAGATCTGCTGCCTCTGCTTGTAGACGGGCCGGGTGGACAGCTTGTACCTGCACACACACACACGCACACACACACACACACACACGGACGGACAGGAAAACACCAGAAATTAGGACTTAAATGATGAAAAAAAACATTAATGAAAACAAAGTGGGGGGAGATCTGATCCGTGGGGTCCAGGAACATTCCAGGAACTGGAATCTGTTTGACAGTGTGGATGAATCATCCATCCGTCTCCTTCAGCTGAATGTAAAAAAAACATCCCTTTTCCAGTTCATGAGGTTATTAACCTTCATGTTTCAGGAAATGCTTCGTGCTTTTCGTTTGGTAGTTTCATTAAGTGCTCCAGTAAGTTTCGATGCAGCATCAACGTTGATAGAAATTGTTGCCTTCGTAACTACCTCATGTTAAACGTTAAATCCATCATGGCAGATTATTATTCTCTGGCTGGACTGATTTTCACTATTCACTATTTTCATCACCTGAATGATGAATAAATAAAAGTATACAAAATATTGCTGCTTAAAAAATGTGTGGTTTAAGTACTTTTACTAAAGTGAATAATGTGAATACTCCAAAACCCAAACAATCTGATCACCACAATACTGCTGTGCCTCTACACAAGCTCAGTGGCTGCGATGGGAGAACTCATCGCTGCCGTGCTTCCTGGTTCTGTACTCACATGACCAGCTGACAGTCGGACCTCCCGCTCGGACACGGACTCTGAGACTTCATGGTGTACCTCTCCGTTCCACACTTCACCGCCACGGTAACCACGCGCTGCTGCACGAACGCACACCAGTTCCTGCAGAGGAGTCAGGAGACGGAGGACAGCGTTCACAGGGAGAATTTGCGTGTTTGCAGTTTTTGTTGCTGCCTTCCTGTTTGGGGTCGGAGGTTAAACATGTTAGCCAGGCCTTTATATTAAGGAGATAATCCACTTAGTTACATTCGGAAGGAGCCAGGCTAGCTGTCCTTATTCCGGTCTCTATGCTAAGCTAAGCCTTGCTAACCATTGGCTGGCTGCAGCCTCACACTTGAATGACTCCACAAATCCACAAACAACACTTGTTTGTGGATTCATTCATTGTTTTTTTTTAATATGAGTGTGAAAGACAACAAGTTAGACATAAATTGAAATATAGGGAATTCACACACACACACACACACACACACACACACACACACACACACACACACACACACACACACACACACACACAAAGACATGCACTCAGTGAGGCTTCAGTCAGAGTCAAAGAGCAGCTGTGGTGAATAACGCCGACTATCAACATGTGTGTGTGATGAGGTCATAGGGTCACCGACGTCAGATAAGGTGTGTGTTTGGGGTCACCACAGACCACCCCTTGTACTTGTGTGTGTGTGTGTGTGTGTGTGTGTGCATACAAAAACACCCAATGGAGTCACACAGAAGAGCCCAGTGGGATTTTTTCCTCTATGAGTTAAGGACATTCAACAAAATCACAGAAGTGCATTTACCACTTCTGGAAAAGACATTTATTTATTTATATTATTTCTCGTAAATGATTTGAAGTTGTTTACTTGCTTCCATCTGTTACCGAGGCTTTAATGCGCGCTCTTCTTCTCTCTTTTAATGTGACAGCCCCTGCGTGCCGGCGATGTTGTAACGTTGATGCTGAGCTGTTTGTCTCATCACTTCCTGTCTGCTTAACTCTGCCTCACAGCGTCAACAACAGCGCTTTCATGTTCTACCGCCATTAATACACCAGCGTCCCTGTTTCCTGTAAAACATTCAACTAATCAGCGTAATTGTGCAATTAGACGGGATTTGGATATTCATGTGAAAACATCGGGGAAAGTGTTGTTTAATCTTTAGACGGTCAAATACAGATTCCCAACAGGGACGTCGTACGTGCTCAAAGAAAGGAACGATATCTGCTGCTCTGAACTCGCACCGAACTGTGAGACCAGATTACCGATATATTACACGGCAAACTAATTATAAATTCACCGTTTCCACTTGTGACCCAGATAAGCCGCATGTCGTTTCCTGTGGAGAGCTGTGACATCACCGGAGAAACAAACATGCCTCCTCCGGGCCGGGGAATTCCTCCACAGCCCGAGCTGCTAGAACACAAACTTTTCAACGAAATGAAAACATTAAAAACGCGGACTAATAACGGAGGCACTCCTCGGGTTGTCATAATGAATTCAGGGAATATTTAGAAGGGTTCGCTGCCTAAACGAAGGCTGGAACAACATCAGAGAATAAAGCTTAATCTTAATCAGATTTAGTTTGTCCTGTGAGACTGAGGTCATCGAGTCTCTTTCTGTTCATCTTTCTTCACATGATGCAGCTTTAATCTCTCATCAAGTATATTTGTCCTCGTTTAGCTCCATTTTCATGATAGCAGGATCACAGCGGCACGCACCTTTTAAAAGGAAGAGGGGAATATTTGTGAAATAGATGTGTTGAAAGCACAACTATTCAAACATCCTGCAGCCGTGGACAGAATATGAGACAACAGACTTCTGACCGGATGCGTAAAAGGTCGCCAACTGCTCCTTCTGTATTTAGGAGCACGTGTTCGAATTACACCGCAGTTTTAGGAGCCTTTATGGACGGCGAGGGGTCACTCGTGCTCACACAACCATTGAAAATTAAGTTTAGCAATGAATTTTGATTCAAATAGAGAATGGTGGTTGTCTCTTGACCACTTTTTGACTGACTTTTTGAATGCATTTATTTTCCTCTACTCTCCTCAGTTCAGATGGTTTCCTGGGGAATTTTAAATAATTCTAAGCGCAAGAATGAACAAATCCTGCTCACAAATGAATAAATGTTTTGCAAAATAAAACAATATTAATTTGTGTCACAGAAAAAAAAACTATTATAAAGTTCAAATAATGTTAAAAACAAACCACAAAAAAACAAAAAAGAGCAGACGATTGCTTTTGTTTATGTGCTGCAACGTTTACAGTATCCGAAGAGAATATTCGTGTTTTGGTGTTTGTGTTCAGCCCTGATCTGCTCCCTTGTTTAAAGAGGGAGAGGTAAACAAACCTCACTGAAAACCCCCACATGTTCTAATAAGCAAACTACAGTCTGGTCATGTGACCGGCCTCCTCTGACTGGCGGTAATGATCAAATCGCCCGCGTCAGCAGAATGTAACCACCTGATCATGTGTCTGATAACTACACTGCCTTTATATCCTGTTTTTTCCCACTTTTATTGGTGTCGTCCTTTCATCTGCCAGCTGCCTGATAACGGCTGAATGAGGAATAAACGATGCCGTCTTTGTTACGGCATCTGCAGCTTTGGCTCACTTTGATCTGAATCCGGCTGCTCGCGAAGCGTCTTCTTCTTCTTCCTCATCAGCTCGAGCTGGGTGAACTTTTACTTTGAAAGGATTCCAGTGAGGCCTCGATTACAAGATCAGCAGCGAGCCTCCAGCCTCGAGTAGGTTGAAGGTCACAACAGAAGCACTAAAGAACTAATATTCCTCTTAGCCTTGAAGGCCACCATGACAGAAATAAGAGGGCAGACTTTACTTCAAAATAAGAGCATGTATTTATCTGTGGATTTCAGCGCAATTAAATTAAAGTAAACTGGAACGTGGAAGTTAGTCTAAAACCTTTATTGATGATGTGGAAATTCAATAAAATCTACAAATTAAAATGTGTTATTTTAACATAAACAATGCATAACAAACAATAACCTGAAAGTGTGATTTAATGCATTGTGTTTTGTAGCAAATGTTCCACTGTAGTCAACGGCCTCATACGGAAAATAATGCAATATACAAATTATTAGACATTAAAATAAAATTACTTTACAAAATGTAAAAACCCCCCACAATACTTCTAAAAGTTTGTCCGAAGCTTTAGATCTTCACAACTTTCAGTTAAACAACAGACGTTTCCCCCTCTACTTCATCAGCACTTAACTACCTGTTGACGTCTGACCTCTGAAGTATGTACCCCCCCCCCCACACCCCCCACACGGCAAACGTTGGAAAGCTGCTCCCCATTACAACGAAACAGCACAAAGAGCCCCGTCTGTGGACGATGTCATTAAGGCAGCTGTTTAAAGGGGTGGGGGGGTCTTAGGGGGGGGCTAATGGAGGGTTGTTTTGTTAAGAACCCTCAGGGATCATTTTATCAGCAAATCTGCGCACGAGCCCTGCAGTCTAACGCATGGATGTGGGTAAGAACGACGACGGAGGCCTCGTTTGCTCTCAGAAACACATCAATGCAACACGTCACTTCACCAACCAGCTCATTTTATATTTATTTTACTTGGTGTTCTCGTCTTTACGGAACCTTTAGTCTTCAGCCATCTCTGCAACACATTGACCCGAGAGGCTGCAGACGTAGAGTGCATGCAGGTGGAGTCGGTGATTTCCTCTGAAGCGACGTTATCCTGCCGTCTCTTGAAGACGTAACCATAACAACGCTGGTCTGTGGTGAAGAATGAATCACCGAAACCAAAGCCAGCTCAAGTATAAGTGTATAAGTGTAAGTGTAAGAAGAAGTACTCAGCTCCGTTGTTCCTTATTGTCTGAGGATTATTTAGTGTTTTATTGGTAAACACCGTCCTTGTACAGGTATGACACGTGTTTGTAATTTGTGATGATACCTGGAGGACAAACGCAACGAGGACACCTGCAGTCTGCCTGAGACTCATGAAATCATAAAATGAATGTATGGCGTCTGGGTCCGATGTGTGTGTGTGTGTGTGTGTGTGTGTGTGTGTGTGTGTGTGTGTGTGTGTGTGTGTGTGTGTGTGTCAGCAGCAGCCTGGGTGGTACCAGCCTATTATAAGCATGTTGGCAGTCAAAACATTTAAGCTCTCCCTGCTTCGTACAGGAAGGACTGCACGTGTGTGAAGTTCTAACTTCATCTGGACTATTTGAGTATTTAGCATTTTACTATTTTTGGAAAGTGCATTTGAATATTAGTTGTAGTTGAACATTAGAATAATGTGCTGAAAGGTATTCAAGTACATTTGTTTAAAGTACTGAACTTCTCTAAAGTACCTTTAAACTATATTTAACTATGACATTTTGGGAAGAAATACTGTTCTTTTAACTGCGCTACATTTTGTTAAAACTACGTCTAAATTGAGATGAATACTCACACATGATGATTGCTGTTATGTATAAACTACCCAGCAATGTTTAAAGTAATCATATGAGCTCAACATTAAAGTAATGAACACATTATTCTAAAGTGGTACTTTTGAAGCTAATAGCTAAAATATAACGACCACGATTTATGCTTCGACCATCAAACTCACGTCCCTCACAACCTGCACAACACAACATGTGTTCAGGCCCATGCAAAGGGTCAGCAGATAAATCCGAAGGGTCATGAGATGATGGATGAGAGAGGAACCGAGGAGAAAGTTCTGATAGTCAAATCTGTTTTCAGTTTCTGGACTCCTCTCGAGTCTTTGAATGTTGAAACGAAACCATGTGAGAAGTTCAGCGGCGTCATTCCTCTTCAGCTGAACTCACAACAATGACACCTGAAATGTGACGAGGTGACGGCTGCAATGTGATGGTTGTTGTGTTCTTTTAGGAGCTTAGGAGGTTCGAGTCACAGCAGAAGTACCTCTCGGTTGTGCCAGAGGATGCTCGCTGAAGGCCTTGCTGAGAGAGGACGTTTACGAGGATGTGACGGACGTGAGATCACAGCAACCTTCACCTTTGACCTTTTGACAATCCCAAAACGGAATGCCCTCAGCTCTGGTGATCCATATTCATGCAAACCACGAAAATCAGAAAAATCATCACATTCGAGACCCTGTAGGTGTTAAACATTTGACTTTCATGATTTATAAATCAGATTCCTTTTTTCGATCAACTTATTGATTTAATCACTTCCTCAACTCTGATTGGAGAACAGCTGAAAGCAGAGAAAAAGGAGGTGCCGTTTGGGACTCACCCGGTCCGGGCTGGGTGGTTCCCTCTGTCTCCCAAAGGAGACGTCTCGGACGCCCTCGGGTGAAGCCCCTCGAAGATGGGGTGAGACGCTGCTGCTCCTCCTCCGCCTCCTCCTTTTGCCCCCAACTCCTCCTCGTCCTCCTCCACCTCGGGGTCCCGTGCTCTGACCTCACAGTGGGCGCTCACCAGTAAGCCCAGTACCAGCACCAGTTCTCTCACAGCCGTCATGTCTGCTCGCCTGCACGTCACCGAGTGGACGCCGGCACGACCACCTCCTGCTTTTAAACGGCTGGGGGGGGGGGGGAGGAGGCCACACCTCCTGTTTCCTCTCCTCCCCCTCCCCCCCCTCCCTCCACAGTCATCTTGTTCTTCTCTGTCTGCTTTACCGTTGATACATTATCTGTAATTTTGTCATCCTGATTTTCCACACTGTGATTTATTTTGTTCTAAACTGTTTCAGTGTCAAATTCATGTTTGGAAGAACTCCTTTTGGTGAAGTGAAGGTGATTATTATTCACACTGTTACACAATTAGTGGTGGGCAAAGTCCAATGATTTATAGACTGCTGGTTAGTTTAATCTGATTATAGTGTGTATTGAAATAATCTTAGCACATTAAAAGAACACATACAGTGTTTAAGTGTGAATGAGGCGACAAAGAGGTTTCATTTCTCTCAATAAACTACTTTACTCCGTCTTCATGTTCGTCCTGTGGAAGTGATAAGAACAGAGGAAATCCACCGAGCTGCAGGAGAAATTACCTCCTTCCTTTTTGTGTGTGTGTCTGTTTGTGTGCGCGCGTGCGTGTGTGTGTGTGTGTGTGTGCTTCTCTGACGACATTGTTCAAAGGGCTGTTTGACAGTTAAGACTTGTTGGAAAGTAAAGTTTTATATAATATTAATACACTACTAAGTTACATCCTGGCTGCTATAAGGCGTAAAACCAAGCAAAGATGTAGAGAAAAGAAATAAAAAACTCCTGTCAGCTATAAAATCATTAAAATTGACAATATAAAACAAGTCGATATTTTGAAAACTAAAATATTAAATAATGAATGAAGAGGTTTTTCATACTTTAAGTTGGAATAAAATAAAATGCAGTAGCTGAAACGACCACACTGAGGAGCATATTTGACCCCACGGCCGCACCATCAAATCTGCTCCAGTTTGTTTCTATCTGTGGGTCATCAATCCATCCAAACACTGCGCCTTTAGGTTTGCACACTGAGGTGAGGATTCGTCTCCCCAGGTAAACTATCTCCCTCGGACTCAATCTGTCCCGTGCTGTTTTTGTCCGTTCATTCACAGCAGCGAGGCACATTACAGGGAGGTGGAGGAGGGTGAAGCAGAAGGAGGAAGGCTAACGGTTCCTGTCCGGCCCGAGAGAGCCGGGGACTTTTCCACCCGGAGGGGTGGGGGTGGGGGTGGGGGTTTGGTTGGATGGATGAGGGTCACTTCCGAGGATTGTTTTAGAGCCGTGTGGAGATGGAGGCCGGTTGGAAGGTGTCGCAGAGAAAGAGAAAGTGTAGAAAGAACCAAAGACTGAAATGAAAGTCCCTTAGTGACTTATCATAGTATTTATCCGTTTTGTATATTTATCAAAAATTTAGTCAGAGTGACATTTACATTTTTTTATTGTGCTGGTGGCCAAGTTCAACAACACAGCCTTGGTGGGAAGTAACTAAGTTCATTTAGTGCTGTACGGATCTATTATTTAAAGGTTGTATATCATACCTCTTTCCTGAGAGAGTATTTCTAATTCTCCTTTAGAAAAGATCAAAGTAGTAATATCACCACTGCGTTTATTAATTATATTTGTCAGGCAGGTGAATAACAAGGGAACCGATAAGACAAGACCGGCAAAAAGATCTCAGTGATTCGTTAAAGTAGTGAAGATACTAATAATAATACTGGATCTCTATATCTCTATATCTATCTATCTATCTATCTATCTATCTATCTATAGATAAACGCATTGGTGATATTACTACTACTACTTCGATCTATATCTATCTATCTATCTATCTATCTCGGTCACTTGATTTCACTCATCACCTGTTCTTCGTTCACCACTACATCTATCTAGATAGATATAGATCTAGATATCTTTCTCGATCAATCTAGATAGATCTATCTAGATAGCGACCTACATCTATCTAGCTAGCTAGATCTAGATCACTAGATAGATCTAGGTAGCGATCTAGATAGCAATCTAGTTGATCTAGATAGCGATCTAGATAGCAATCTTGATAGATCTACATCTATCTAGATAGATATAGATCTAGATATCTTTCTCGATCAATCTAGATAGATCTATCTAGATAGCGACCTAGATCTATCTAGCTAGCTAGATCTGTATCACTAGATAGATCTAGATAGCGATCTAGATAGCAATCTAGATAGCGATCTAGATAGCAATCTAGATAGATAGCTCTAGATAACTTTCTCGATCAATCTAGATAGATCTATCTAGATAGCGACCTAGATCTATCTAGCTAGATCTAGATAGCGATCTAGATAGCAATCTAGATAGATCTAGATAGCGATCTAGATAGCAATCTAGATAGATCTAGATGCGATCTAGATAGCAATCTAGATAGCAATCTAGATAGATAGCTAGATCTATCTAGATCTATCTAGATCTAGATCTAGGCTACCTAGATAGATAGATCTAGATAGCGATCTAGATCGCTATCTAGATAGATCTAGATAGCAAGCTAGTTAGCAATCTAGATAGCAATCTAGATAGATCTAGATGCGATCTAGATAGCAAACTAGATAGATAGCTAGATCTATCTAGATCTAGCTAGCTAGCTATATCTAGATCGCTAGATAGATCTAGCAATCTAGATAGATCTATCTAGATAGCGACCTAGATCTAGATAGCAATCTAGATAGATCTAGATAACGATCTAGATAGATCTAGATGGCGAAGTTGATCGATAGCGATTTAGATCTATCTAGGTAGATCTAGATAGATAGATCTAGATGGATAGATAGATCTAGATCTAGGTCGCTATCTAGTTATATCTCGATCGCTATCTAGATCTATCTATCTTTCTAGATCTATCTATCTAGATATATCTCACTTTCTAGATCTATCTATCTTTCTAGATCGCTATCTAGATCTATCTATCTCTATCTAGATCTATATCGCTATCTATCTATCTATCTATATAAGTAAATAAGGGTTTTACAGTGAAAAGCTTTAATGGTAAATTATAACAGTAACAATATTTATCAGGAAAATTTGTTGGAGAGAAAGGGTATATTGTGAACCCTATTTATTTTATTTCCATTTATGTGTCAAATATCGATAGCAAACCTCTTTTGACATCAATAAAAATGACTCACTTTTATTAAATCTATCAAAAACATTGGATTTATTAACATTGCGAGAAAAATCTGGTGCCTTAGGTGCATTAAAAACACGTTAATTCTAGCTCTAATCCTTGAGCGATTAAGAAGCAGGAGATGTTATCAGAAGCTCCCTCTTTAACTACTGTTCTCTGGGAACAAACTGGAGCTTCACTGGCTGCACTGGCTGGGCCTTCCAGTCAAACTCCAATGAAATCTAAAGGGGAAAAACAAATGCAAGATGAGGGACATGACGACGGAGTACCGTGACCGTCTGCATGAATGTCTGTGTGCTGCCATCGTACCATGGTGTCTTTGCACGTCTCCACGTTGTAGCTCTGCAGGAGACGGACGAGGACCGTCTTCATGGTGAGGACAGCGTAGCGCATCCCGACGCAGTTGCGTGGGCCGAGGCCGAACGGCATGTACGCGTACGGGTTCACCTCCTCCCCGCTCTCCTTGCTGAACCTTGAGGCGGGATTGTCCTGTCAGAGGTTACACGTTCTCTCACTCTCAAAATGAAAGCGAGGCGCAGGTTTACCTCTCGGGCCTGAAGAGCTCCGGTGAGCTCCAGAAGCGCGGGTCCATGTGCAACAAGTGAACCGGAATGCCCACCAGGGTGTCTTTGGGGGATCCAAATGAGTTTTATAAATAGGATTTAGCAAACGTACCTTTGCTCGGCTGATCCTCTTCACTCTTTATGTCCGTATCTGGTATCTCGTTCTGAATCATCACCTGCAGGAAGTCCGCTCGTGTCTGGATCCGCAAACAGAACATTCGGCACAAATTGGAGAGTGTTATCAATCGTTCTATTTGACTCTTGTGAGCGAGAGATTTGTTTTATTCTTTGCAGCATTTCTTTTCCCTCTCAGTACAGATGAAATGCTCACAGATTCGTCTTCCCCATGCTGGTGTTTGAAGTGCTTGATGACGTCGTAGAAATAATCCACACTGACTCTATCCAGCATCTCGAGTTTCAGGAGTCTCAGCAGACGGGCGCCGAAGGGAAAAACCACTGGAGGGAAACCAAAGGGTTGTTTTTATCACATTATGGCTACTCGTGATTCCAAAACACCGACATGATTCAATGATCTCAGCACAGGTGAAAGGGAGAACGTACTTAGTATAATGACAGGCCACATTTTGATGTTAAGGATGTTCTTGACATGAACATTCAGCGGGTCGTCTGGATTGTTTATGGAGTTTGCCTCAACACTGAAGGACGCGCTGGTCACAACGTCCAAGCTGTAAGGGGCCATGAACCTAAGCAGAAAAAAGAGGTGGTTTCTTTGAGGAATTAACATAAAAAGCTTCCGTTTTTAGATCATTTTATGACAATATGAATGGATAACCCTTCTTGGTCTCAGTTGACCTAGATTTCTTTGTCTTTTTTATGCCTTTTTTTTAGCTCGATGACCTTTTTACAAGGAACTTGTGCACACATCTTGAGCGGTGCTTTTGTGTGATTATTTTTGCAGAAAATAAATAGATGAGATTAGATAGAAAAGATCAGAGTATCAGCCGACTAAGAAGCTCTGTGATGGAGGACGGCTCTTCAACGTCATGATATGCCGGCACAAAGCAGATTAACAACATACTGTTTGACATCGATTGGCACCGA